CAAGGTAGAAGCTCAAGATGACACCTGAGGATACAGGACAGGTGGCATTAGGGCAGTGCCTGGAGCCCCAGCTGAACAGGGAAGAACCAGCAGGGCCCTAGCTGGCCTGTGAAGACTGGACTCTTGCAGCGTCCAGTAGTTGGCCTGCAGCGCCACCTAGTGACCAAGATTCACAGACCTTTTATTTCTCCCAGGTCTGGTCCTCCAGGTTCAGGTAAGGCTGCCACTCCCAACCAACCCTATCCAACTAGCAAGCTTCCCTGAACACCTCAGGCACCAGCGCTCTAATCCTCTCCCTTGGAATGAACCCCAGTCATTCTGCAGGGACTCCAGATCCACTTCACCCAGGAAGCCTATACAACTGCTCCAGCTTCAGCAATCACTCCTTCCTCAGCCTCAAGACTCATACTGGGTGTCACTGTCTACTTCTGGGGTCCTAGATTCTGTAGTTAGACAGATCTGGCTTTGAACACTAGAATGTCCACTTACCACCTGTGTGATCTGAGCAAGTACTTAACCTCTCTGAGCCTTAGGTCCTTCATGTTAAGTAAAGATGACAATTTTAGCTTCACAGAGTTTTGAAGAGGATGAAATGAGATCAGATCTGTCCAGGCCAAGAAGAGAGCCTGGCAATAAACAGGCACTCAGGAAATGGCAAGTCCCTTCCCACCGCTGTCTCTGATTTCCTCTTCCCTTTCCTGAAAAAGGAAGTATAACTGAACAGATGGCACAAGAGAATCACAGGACCTGGGTTCTCTCAGTCTTTTCTCTGTAAAATGAGGTCATTAGATAATTGACGAAGCTATCTACTCATTCATCATCCATTAAACTTCTAGTCCTGCTATGACATTCCACGTAGTATGTCTTTTCCAACTATTAATTCATCTGCGCCAGATGTGTCTTGTGCTTCAGTGTCCTGTTAGTACTCAGCACAGTATCTGACTGAGGGCACTAGAAAGATCTCTCCTCAACAACTACCAGGGCCTGTCTGCTGCCTCCCCCTCCATGCCCCTAGAGAGCACCCAGCCCTGGCTGGCACTAGCAGCCCCACCCCCTCCCTCACCCAGTTCGAAACCAGAGCTGGCGCCATTGGATGAGGAATCTGGGGACCAACTGTCACAGCTCCAGTATCACCTGCCTCCCGGACGCCCGGGTTCAGACCTAAGTCCCAGAGAGGCCCTGTTAGCCAGCTGTCCGGGGTGGGGGTGGGGCCCTGGCTCCATCTCAGCCCCACCGAGTTGCTCTCCCTGGGGAAATCAGACAGTGCCAGGGACCTGGTAAGGGAGTGCTAGAGTGGGCACAGGGAGGAACAGAGGTATTTGTCCAGGTCCAAACCTCAGGCTGGCCTTTCAAAACCCTGGAGATCAGGGTCCCATAGTCACTTTCTTTCTCTTCCAATCCCTATAACTCTCCAAGTTCCAAGACTGTTTTGCCTTCACATTTAATCCTCTTTGGCCACATTCTCTAGGTCATGTAGATCAGTTTCTGTATCTTGCTGAGGGTGGAGATCAAGTCTGATATTTTGTATGTGTGTCTCACAGACTTTCATGCAATATATTGTCAGTGATTGAAATTAAAAAGTTGAGCCTGTTCTAAAAACAGAGAGAATATTGCACTTTCCGCAAGGAAAGATGGTGGTTTGATAGCAAGGTGCACTTCCTATAAAGGAGGGTCTTAAGAAGAGATAGTGGAAACCCCATAAAGCCTAGGAGAGGAGGCACAGTAGACTGGGACATCCTGATCAAGGAGGGAGATGACGAGATAATGTCTTCAAGGGCAGCCAAACCAGATAGGGCAGCCTTTGGAGCAGCCCCTTGTGTTACCTCTTCTCCCTCAGGGCTCTTTGGATGTGGGGGGCAGGTGTTAGGTGTGGGCCTCCATCCTTTGGTACTTGCTGTGTAGACGTGATAACAGGTGCCAGGTTTGCTTCAAGGAGCAAAGGCACAGAGTTCCACCAGATAAACACAGTCTGTTTCCCCCACCCCTTCCTGTTCTCCAGCCTCCACACAAACCCTGGGTCATCTTTCATGCCCTGCTGCCAGGCTTGTGTATACGCACACACACACATGCATGCACTCAGACTCATTTGCACATAAACACACAGTGTGCAGACAGCTAACTCAACAACTCTACGGGGTCCAGGAGTCTGGCCTATGTGTGTATGTATGAGGTGGGGAGAGGGCAGAGTTTGCCTGCATTCCATTGCTCAATAGGAATAATTTTTGGAATTATCTGTAGTTTGTTTGGGATGATATTTTTTTCTGCCAGTCTAGATCTAAAATGGAATTCAAGGGATGCCCAGTGATTCGGATCTCCGCCAGTCCTGGCACATCCTAGGAATGCAATAGGAAGTGGTTAGCTAAATAAATGAATTAAAATAAGACTATAATCTGGGTAAAGTCAACTGTAAGGGAAGAACAACGAGGGCTTGAAAATGAACAGATTTTTTAAACACCTAAGGTAGCCAGGCCCCGTGCTAGGAACTTGGCTTATTATTTCCACTTCAGAGATGAGGAAATCAAAGTTCTGCAGTAAATGCTTGCCTAAGGGATGGAACTAACAAGCAGCATGTTTGGCTCCAAGAGCCTGCTCCTTCCTCTTCACCATGAAGCAGTTACACCTAACATAGCCTACTGAGCTGCTCTAGGAAGGCCATGTGCTAGGCACTGGGGGGCAAGGGTAAGAGACAATGACAAGGAGAGACACAGTCTTCAAGTCCTTCAAGAGAGATATGTGCCCACCGACACGCCTTTCTGGCAAGGCAGAGAATGGGGCATGGGGTGAATTGCATAAAGTAAGGCCAAATTGTATAAAGTAAGGCCTTTGGCTCTTATCCCTCCTTGTCATCATAATTCTAGACTGGGCAGGAATGAGGAAGAGGAGTGCCCATACAGAGAAACTAGCTCAGCCAAGTGTGTGTGTTTGGGGGCTGCGGCTGAACAAAGAAGGCCATCAGGACTCATCAAAACCCTGCCCCAAGAATCCAGTTCCTCAAGTAACCCACACTCAGGCACCTGGACCACCCAGGCACTCTGGTGATTGCCAGTGTGGGTGCATCCCCCCCACCGACCCCCCCACCCCTATAATGTGCAGGCACACACTCTGGGTATGCACTAGTGCTATGGAAAACCTTCCTGTGCTCAGCCATGAGTCCTGCCCCCAAGGTGTGGTGTGCAGGCACTGTACCTCCCCTGCTTTGGATATTTGTCTGCAATCACACTGGGACCCAAGGACAATGCTTGGCACTGGGGTGGGGGTGAGGGGCTGATGTGTCCTCCTTGGATCAGTGGTCCAGAAGGGACCCCCCCCCCTTCTCCCACCCCACTCTTTAGCCTACACTTCTCATTCAGCAGCTGTCCCCCTCCCCACTCACACACTTGCTTCTGTCCTTTGTTTTCCACCCTGGCCAAATCCCCAAGGATTATTTGGTCATTAACCTCCTGCTTTAATTAGCTTTGTGGGGAGGAAAATGAAAGCAGGGCAAGTTCAGGGGTGGCTGTCTAGGGGGAATCTCATTTCGGTGGGGACAGGAAGGCTCAGGCCAGCTGGTGACAAAAATGCCTGGCACACAATAAGCCCCATGCAACTATTTGCTAGCTCTATTAATGTGATAGATGGTCACCTGAGCAGAATGGGAGATTTTCCCCAGTGACACAGCTCCATGGTCCCCAGTACCACAGCCCTCCCTCCCCCCCCCCAGCAGATAGAAAAGGGACAAGAGGGCCTCCCTGGTGGTGCAAGGGGTTAAGACACAGCACTATGAAGCTATCCACAGCCACTCCAGCATCCCTGGCCAGGGAGGTGACCCACATGGCGCACAGACCTCTCCTGACTCGCCCCGCTGCTCCCCTCAGCAGTGTATTTCAGTGTATCTGCCTGTTCTGCTCCCCACTCTGTCTCTGGTGAATCTTCTCACCACCATCCCCCATGTCTGGCCTACACCCCAGCTCATGTATGCATAAATATTTTTTGAAAAGGGGGGGCAAAAGTCAGAAACAGCCCACTCCCACATGACCTTGACCCTCCAATTCTTCTCCTACCCTTGTTTGGTGGGGGTAGCACCCAATCCCACAATGCTTCTTGTTAATCTTATGTTAAATCTTCAATCCCAACTCCAGGTCCTTTGGGGGTTCCTTAGTCATGGCTTCCCTCCCCTGGATCTCTGCCTAGCAAAGGAGCCAGAGTCCCACAGTGTGCCAGTCCTCCTGAGATCCTCTGCCCTGTCCCCCACTGCTGTGCCAATGTACTCTTTCCAGGAATCAATAGGAGCAACTGGGCTTCAGCCCTCAGCCCTCAGGGCCTCACAGTGCCAGGTGGATGAGGTCATCTCATCTGTTCTTCTGCTTCCAAGCAGGGTTTTACCTCACAAGCTAGTCCAGAGTTTTGGTTTCCACCGCACATGACTAAAGGACACCTTACCACTGCAGCTCACCCATTCTTAAAAAAACTTTTGGAAATATCTTCTTAAAATCTGACCTCAACCCCTCATGCCCCCCCATGTCATCCTTTTCCTCTTGGGAAAGACCCAAGCATAAAAAAGGTGACCCCCCAAAAAAAGCTTAAGTTTAAGGGGAGAAGATTTTATACACTCCCTACTCCCCCAAACTCCCTCCAAAAGAACCCAACTGTCTAATTCAAACCTTAAAAACTTACTTTGACTTTCACCAAATCTCCGGAATCAAAGGAGCTGAACTAAAGGGTTTTCCTTGGCAGAGAGGTGGGCGAAACAATGTGGAATGACGGTGGACGCTGAAGTACAAATCACCCCAAAGCTATGTGCATGGCCCCGGCCTGAAGGTCAGGGCCCCTCGCTTGATTCCATGCCCCCTCCTTCTGTCGCACCCAAACCTCAAGCTTCTCAGCTGTTACACATTTTGCTTTTAAGTTTGCCCTTGCCTCCCCACTCTCTGCCCCCCAGTCCGCTCCTCGCCCTCCATCCTCACCACTCCACAGCCCTCCCAGCTCCCCTCCACAGACCAGAAGGACGTGAACTAACTCACCTCCCAGTCGGTGCCTCTCAGATCTTCAAGACTGGGGGTGGAGGGAAGGAGGGGAGATGGTTCGCGGCTTGGGGATGAGGGAACCCCGTTTTTTGCTAGGGGGTCTCACCCTCCAGCCCGGCACCCCATCCTGGCCCCCAATGCACGCAGAGCCGGATCCTCCCCGCATCGCGGCTGCGGGCTTTGTCTGCTCTGCGGAGAGCCTCTCCCCGCGGCCCGGAGCAGCGATCGACTCAGGGAGAGTGGGAGGCGGGGAGCCGAGCGGGAGGGCGGCGGGGAGGGGGAAGCGGAGGGAGACGGAGAGAGGAGACGGGGGGCGGGGGGAGCGCGAGCCAGCCGCAGTGACCCGGCGAGGAGCGCTCTCGGCCCTCGCGTCTTCCCCTCCCCCATTACCATAAGAAAGAGGGACCCGAGACCCGTCGGGATCAGCAGGGAGCCAGTCAGGGGGGGTTGGGAGGAGGCGCTCCTTTAGCCTTTTTCCAACTCGTTTTGTTTCTGAACACTGCTCTCCCCAAGCCCGCGCCTGGGAAAATCAGGGACCTTGACTTCCAGCTCAGCCCCAGTTTTGCCTCCGAGCCTTAGGTAGGACCGAAAGCACATCCCTATTATCCTCCTCGGGTCAAGGAATTCGTCCCCGCGCCCCAGAAGGTAGGAAACTACAACTCCCGGCATGCCCCGGGCGCCCCCGGCGCGCCCCCCTCCCGTCAGTTCCATGCTGCTCCATCCAGTTCATTTAAAACAAAAGAGTTTGAGCGCTGGAAGGGGCTGGGCTCTATTGGGGGCCACTGAGCGCAACTCCTGGACTGGGGCTCGGTGCGGGAGACTAAGGGGGGCGTCTGGACGGCGGGGTCAAGAGACCCCGGGGTCCGAGGCGGTGGGGTGGGGGCAGAGATCCCGCAGCCCCCCGCCCCCCGTCACCCCGGGAGAGAGGAGATCTGCTTTCTGGGTTTTGCTTCTCTTTTCCCCCCGCCCCCACCCCGGGGACTGGGGCGAGGGGAGTCGGGTTACAGGGTGTTTGGGGAGGGGGGCTTAGGGGGAGGGTCTATCTTTCTATCTCGCTTTCTTCCCCCCTCCCCAGTTCTTTGTTCCCCCCTCCTCACACACCCCCCTCCCCTCCTCTCCCCTCCCCGCCTCTCTCCTCTTTTCCCTTCCACCACCTCTCTCTCTCTCCCTCTCTCTCTCTCTCTCCCCCAGCTTTTGTTTCGCCATGCCTAGTCTAGTGGTATCTGGAATAATGGAAAGAAATGGGGGCTTTGGAGAACTAGGATGTTTCGGGGGAAGCGCTAAGGACCGAGGGCTGCTGGAAGACGAGCGCGCCCTTCAGCTGGCTCTCGATCAACTCTGCCTCCTGGGTTTGGGGGAGCCCCCCGCCCCCACGGCGGGCGAGGATGGGGGAGGTGGGGGGGGCGGCGCCCCCGCGCAGCCGGCCGCCCCCCCGCAGCCGGCCCAGCCGCCGCCGCCCGCGGCGCCCCCGGCCGCCCCGACAGCGGCCCCCGCGGCACAGACGCCCCAGCCCCCCACCGCCCCCAAAGGGGCCAGCGACGCCAAGCTCTGCGCTCTCTACAAAGAGGCCGAGCTGCGCCTGAAGGGCAGCAGCAACACCACGGAGTGTGTACCGGTGCCCACATCCGAGCACGTGGCCGAGATCGTGGGTAGGCAAGGTAAGCGGGCGCCGGGACCGCGGAAAGGGACTGGAGTGGGGGCACCCCATCCCTAACACAGAAAGTTCATTTCCTCTCTCCTTGTCTGCCTCCGGCTCTGTCCCTTCCCCACAAAGGGGGACCCGCCCCCTACCCTGATTTCCAAGTGCCACAAAGTTCCCCGCTACCCCCGGTCGGGACTGTTCTCCTGATCCTACCTCCCTCAGGGCTCTGCCCTTAGACAAAGAAATATCCTCTCTTAGTGAGAGGGAAAGGGGAGGGGGTTCGGTCTCCCAATCCAGGGAGGCTGTCCGGAGGGGGAGACCAGTCCTAACCTGGAAAACTGGCGGAATGTGCAGAGTTACTCAGAAGTCCCTACTCCCGTATCTATATGCTGGTGGGTTGGGAAGGGGGTACCCCTGGGACCCTCTGCCGCCTGGAGTTACAGACTATGGGGGAGACCTGGCCCGGGAAGCTAGACTGAGTCTCTGTCTCTTTGTTGGACTGAGTGTAGGAATGGAAGGGGGTGTGGCTCATACGAGGGTCCCAGCCTGGGGGAGAGGTCCTGAGGGGGGCTGCTGGGAGGAGGGAGTCCTGTGATCATCCACACACCAAAGTTGAAGGGTCTATGGGGTTTTGGAAGGGGTGCCTCCAGTAAGTGCCATGTCTTGGCGTGGACCTCTTCTCCTCCCTCTCAGGCTTTTGTTCTGGGCCGGCCACCGCCAGGGGCCAGAGGCCTGGAGAGGGGTCTCTGGTAGTGAGAGTAATACAGGGTGGGAGGGGGTCTGGGGAGAGCCGCGGGGGTGGGGGGGGGATGAGAAACCCTCACCTGGAGATTTGGTGGAGGGCGTGTGTCTGATGTGCTGGGGGGGGTGTTGTAGAATTAATCTAGTGTAGTATGTCTGATACCACACCCTCCTCAGATCCAGCATCCCTGAGCTGATGGGGGTGGGAGTATTGGTGAGGGTCCAGACTGAGCAGATCTTGGGGACTTTTCCCTTTCCCCTTTTCCCAAAGGGGAGTGGGGGGGATGGGATGTGGAAATTGCAAGGGGGCTGGGCTGGGGAGGTGTGGGGTGGGGGAGGAGCAGGGGAGGAGCTGTCCCACAGTGGGGAACAATAGAGGAGCTGCATTCCGGTTAGGAGTGCGGGAGGAGCCGTCTGCTGGTTGGGGGAGGGGGTGAGCCTGGGGGCCCCTTACTTCACATCCCACCTCATCCACCCTGAGTGCTGGGGGTCAGGGGGATTTTGCTGAGAGATCCAGAATGGAGGAGGGGAAGATGCCACTCCCCTGCACAGCCCTCATCCCCTGGGGCACTCCATCTCTTGAGATTTCTGGTTTGAAAAGTTGGATTTTCTCTTGTTCCCAGAAACTAGGCATCCCGAGCCCTGGAATTGGGTGGGGACACTGATATCTTTTCTTGGGTGTGGGGGTGGTCTTGGGAGGTCCCGGAATTTCATCGAGTCATTCTTCTGCCTCCGCATCAGATGGGCCTGTCTCATAAAAGTAGAGGTATTTCTCCTATTCAGAGACGCCTCCTCCTCATTTCTTAAGTTTATGGAAGTCCTTCCTGTTGTCTAACCTACCTTCTCCTGTTGCTGTACCACTACTCCTTTTGACCTCTAAGAAGGTGAAGCTCAGTGGGTCTTCCCTTGTGGAGATGCTTCTTTGGAGTTGGGAACCCAGGATCAGGACCATCCCCCTAAGATCTGCACCTCCACACCTCCAGCTTTTCTTGTGCCCTGGCCTGCCCCCCTTAACACAACCCCCAGAGATACTTCGGTCTCACTTAAGTTTTTGGACCCAAAACTTCAAGCCAGAACCCAGTGCCTATCAGATGCCATGAGCAGAAGTGGTAGGAGAGGGGGCTTAACAGTTCTCCTATCCTCCGTGCCTCCCAAATAGAACAATCATTTACTGACATTAAAGCAGTGAGGACATGGGTTTGACAACAGGTAGGACTTCTCAACTGCCAAGAGAAGAGGTCTGAAGACAAAACGGGAGGAGAAAACCCTCCTTCCCGCGTGGTCTCTTGAAGGCATGAAGATCTGCCCCCAATCCACTCTTATCCTCGCACCCCTCAGTCTGGAGTGGAGAAAGGAGAGGGGGGGAAATGAGCTCACCTCAAGCCTGTGGGACTTGAGTGGGGCAAAAGTTGCAGACCTGGGTAGGAATGTGCTGTCTGCTGTCCGGGATGGCAGGAGTGGAAGTGTGGGAGGCATGAGGGCTTGAAACACAGCATCCATGCGTGTGGAAGTGCACAGGAACCGTGTGCCACAAGTATTGTTCAAAGAAAGGCTCGCTGTGCATCACAGCCCTTCACACATGTAGTGTGTGCGTCAAGAAAATGTGAGTCTCTGAGGCTCGATGCCGCGAGGGGCAGGGAAAGGGACCGTGGGAAAGGAGAAGCTGGTCTATTCCCCATCCAAGTCTGCCACCTTTAGAGATGGTGTGGCTGTCCCAGCCTCCCTCACTTTTCTTTTTCCCCTTCTTCTGCTTTGTCTCTCTTTGTCTGGGCCTTTCTGCTTTCTCTTCCTGCCTCCCTTCCCCAGCCACCCAGCCTTAACCCAGTCCTATTTCAAAGCAAGAGTCTGGGTCCAGAATACCAGAATAATGCCTCCCTCCCCCACTTAGCCATCAGTCCAGTACCGCTTCCCTGTCTCTAGAAAAAGGGCAGCAGGAGTGTCCATGGGGTCCAGTGGTATCCCTCCCACATCTTTATCTTCATATTCCTTCTCAGCCCTTTGAAACCCTGATTCTCAGACTCCTCCAAGTCTCCCTCACTCCACCAGTTGCTTCAAACTTGCTATTAATTTGGGGCCGTAAGAGACACTAATGGGGGGAATAATCATAGAGCACATGGGGGTCAGCGGTCCCTGAGTAAACTGGAGAGCACTTTTAGTGAATGGAGGTGAAGTGAGGAATAAATTTTGAGGTTACTGAGTTCATTGGGGTTCTGTGGAAAGACCAGGGACAGTGACAGATTGTGGAGGAGGTGAAGTGATTTGGAAGTTTGCGAGTAATCAGGGTCAGCAGAGAATTTAAGGGAACAGCACATGGTGCTGGGGAAGAGTTTGTAGATGTGAGGTTGGTAGCTTGTCTGTGAGTGATTATTTCGGGGTTTCAGGGAGTGAATGAATTTGAAGGAATTTCCCAAATGGAAATTCCAGGGAAAGTTGGTACATTTGGAAATCAGTGGCTGATAAAGACTTGGGGTAGATCTGAGATACAAGTGGAATGTTCAAGTCGGGGCAGATGGGGGTGGTTTTCAAAGGGCAGCCGGGTTTCTTGGGCACAGAGAGCTGGATAAAAAGCTGAAGTCTATGGGCCCCAGCACAAACCTTTGGTGTGTTGTTTGTTTCTTTTTCTCTCTCCCCTTCCCCACCCTACCCCAGGATGCAAGATTAAAGCCCTGAGGGCCAAGACCAACACCTACATCAAGACTCCGGTGAGGGGTGAGGAGCCAGTTTTCATGGTGACCGGGCGGCGGGAGGACGTGGCTACAGCCCGACGGGAAATCATTTCAGCAGCCGAGCACTTCTCCATGATCCGGGCCTCCCGCAATAAGTCGGGCGCCGCCTTCGGTGTGGCGCCTGCTCTTCCCGGCCAGGTGACCATTCGTGTGCGGGTGCCCTACCGTGTGGTGGGGCTGGTGGTGGGCCCCAAGGGGGCAACCATCAAGCGAATCCAGCAGCAGACCAACACGTACATTATCACACCAAGCCGGGACCGCGACCCGGTGTTCGAGATCACGGGAGCACCGGGCAACGTGGAGCGAGCGCGCGAGGAGATCGAGACCCACATCGCCGTGCGCACAGGCAAGATCCTCGAGTACAACAATGAAAATGACTTCCTGGCCGGGAGCCCCGACGCCGCGCTCGACAGCCGCTACTCCGAGGCCTGGCGGGTGCACCCGCCCGGCTGCAAGCCCCTCTCCACCTTCCGGCAGAACAGCCTGGGCTGCATCGGCGAGTGCGGCGTGGACTCGGGCTTTGAGGCCCCCCGCCTGGGCGAACAGGGCGGGGACTTTGGCTACGGAGGGTACCTGTTTCCGGGCTACGGCGTGGGCAAGCAGGATGTGTATTACAGCGTGGCCGAGACTAGCCCCCCGCTCTGGGCGGGCCAGGAGAACGCCACGCCCACCTCGGTGCTCTTCTCCTCTGCCTCCTCCTCCTCGTCTTCGTCGGCCAAGGCCCGCGCCGGGCCTCCCGGCGCGCACCGCTCCCCGGCCTCTTCCGCGGGGCCTGAGCTGGCCGCACTCCCCAGGCGCCCGCCCGGAGAACCGCTGCAGGGCTTCTCTAAACTTGGCGGGGCTGGCCTGCGGAGCCCCGGAGGCGGCCGGGATTGCATGGTGTGCTTCGAGAGTGAGGTGACTGCCGCCCTGGTGCCCTGCGGACACAACCTGTTCTGTATGGAGTGTGCGGTTCGCATCTGCGAGAGGACGGACCCGGAGTGTCCCGTCTGTCACATCACAGCCACGCAAGCCATCCGAATATTCTCCTAAGCACCCCGCCCCCTGCCTCCCGGAGCCACTCCCCAGGGGCCTGCCCCCGGAGCTGTTTTTCCACCAGGGCCTTTTGGAAATCAGTGATTGGTGGGGCAGGGTGCTTAGAGATACTCAGTCGCTAGGAAGGGGGGAGGGGAAGCGATGGTGGCTGGAGGGTGGGCCACTTTCAGAGCTGCTGGTCACCCTGTCCTGGAAAGGTTGGGAGGGGGCCAGACAGGAAATTTTACTAGAGTTACAACTCTGATACCTCAACACACCCTTCAATCTGGAAGCAGCTAAGAAAAACTTTTGTTTTGCCAGAGGTGGCCACTAAGGCATCCTGACCCCCTCTGTCCACCTCCCCATTCGTGTGTCACTCTACCCCTTCTCTGGAGGGGCTGGAGAAAGGGAGAGGGAGAATTGCCATCTGTATCTAAAGGTGCTCTTTCCAAGCCCTCTGGCCCTGGCCTCCGACCTCCCAGCGTGACCCTATTGCCCTCCACCGCCATATCCTGTTGGGGAATCTTACTGGGTCTCCAACAGTATAAGGGGGTTGGGGTCCTTTCAGAAGTCTATAGAGATTTTTCTGGGGGGAGGCAGGGAAGTCTGTTAATCAATAAAGGGCTCAGAACTCATCTGTTCCCACAAAGCTGGGCTAGAGGAATTTGGAGGGGGGGGCGCTCCTCTCAGCCCCCTTCAGCTTTCCCCTTCATTCTCTGCTCCGCCGTCTTTCCGACATTTAGGTCCCTCTTCCTCTGCTCTTCCCCTCAGCTCTGTGCACTGCTTCCCCTCCGTGGCTGCCCCTCCCAGCCCTGACTTGCTCTTTCTTCCATTCTCTTCCCTCCCTCCTGCCCCTTCCAGCCCAGCTTTGGGGACACTGTCCCTCCAGGGAGACGTAGGGAGAAAACGTTTTGATAGTTTCCTCCTAATTCCTCTTTTAGCATCTGGAGGCCCTCTCCCCCAATTCTCCAAAGAAACACCTCGATTTCTTGATGGAATGTATCCCCTTTCTCAGTGTAGATTTGAGGAGGGGACTAATTCTGGGGTATACAAAGGGTCAAACCTCCATCTTTATCATCTTTGGGCATTACATTTAGGGAGCAGTTCTTGGGCTGGGTTTTCCGGTGGAGGGAGTGGGGGAGAGCCAGGGTAGTGTGTCTGCTATTTCTAAAGCAGGAAAGGGGCTGAGGCAGGAGGGAAGGCTGCTGGAGGGAAGGGCTGCTCCTCCTCTGCAGTGCCCTATCCCTGCATCCCTCTGACCCCCTGCAAATCATGAAGTCTCTGTCCCACCCTTGTGGCTGAAGAGAGAGACCAGATCCTGGGAGAAGGGTCAATCCAGGGCAGAGCAGGATTGGGGTGCAGCAGGGCCTGTTCCAAGAGTCATGTATTGTTATGGACTTGCAACCCCTTTGCTGCTTTCCTGTTGCTCTCTTGGGGCTGCCTCCCACCCTCCTGGTTCCGCTGGCCGGGCTGGGAGAGGATGGGGGGAATGGGAGTCCCAGAAGGTCCCCAGGAAATTTTTGTATATAATGTGGTGGGACTGTTGAAAGTGATCTCTGAGCACCGAGCTCTGAGTCCCATTTTTCCTGGATGGAGAGGGGGTGCAGGGATGGGGGTAAAGAGGGGATTTCCTCCTCTCCTTCCTCCTGTTGTGAATTAACTCACCTCTCCTCAGCCTTCCCCTCCAGACCACCAGCCAGGGAGGGGAGAGGAAGGAGGTCACGGCCAGGGAAACTGACCTGTGACAACTTCCCTCCTCCCGCCAATGTGAGCCATCCTGCGATGTCTGTACAATAGAAACCAAACCAAATGGGCACCCTCGCTCGCCGAGGGGGGTGGGGAGGGGGGTGGGAAGAAGGGATGTCTGTCTGTCGCGCCCCCTCCCCCTCTCCACTCCTTACCCACAAAGGCAGAAGACTGTTACACTAGGAGGCTCGCAAGGAAAACGCAATCCCACCCTTACTAATTGAGCCAAACCTAGAAACAAACGCAAAACACACGTAGTGAGAGACAAAATAGAGGAGAGAAAGAGAGCGTGAGAGGGAGCGAGATAGGCGACCAACACAGAGGAGAGAAAACAAAAATAGCAAAAAAAAACACAGTTCTTTATAATTTAATATTCTATTTTAATAAAGGCGTTTATTACCGTATAAATGTAGCAAAGAACCTGGGCTAATATGAAAAAAAAAAGACTTTTTATTAGGTAATTTATTATATGAAAAGGATATTTTATTTTATGATAAAGTGATCCTTAAAAAAATAAAAAAATTTAGAAGGTTTAGAATATATGTAGGGAGAGAAGAAAAAATACATTTGTATTCAGAGTTAAATCTTAAAAAAGTGTTTTTAATATATGTTCGGGTTTACGTTCCTTTTTCCCCCACGTTTTTTTGGGGAGGAATTTCATTTGCTTTTGGGGGAAGCATCCTGGGATGGATGGTGAAGAGAGGGGCTAGGGGAGCCTGGTCCCTCTGGGGCCAGGCAAACAGATTGAATTTCACTCCATGGGCTCCCCTCCTCTCTCCCCTCCCCCTTGGGGGAGTCCGCAGAGCCAAACAAAGAAAGGGATTAACAAGAAAGGAAGAAGCAGGACTGAGGATCCTGGGGTGTCCCCCTCCCCCTGCCATTTCCCAGGGTCTGGTGAGGAGGGAAGTCCAGAACTGAGGCCCAGCAGGTCTACGGGAACCCTCAGAGAGATAAGAGATTAAAGAGAAATCGTTTTTTTTTTGTTTGTTTGTTTTGTTTTGAACCAAAAAAAAAGAAGAAGAAAAAGAAACCGAGGGGTTTAAAAGAATACTACAAAATAATTATTAATAATAATAATTCAAATTTATTTCATATAATCCTAGAGAAAAAGAAAGAATTACTAGTTACTTAGTAGATGATATTCAGATAGCTTAAAGTTTAGTAGCTCGAGGGCCCCTGGTCCAGTAGAATGTATAAAAGTCGTAAGGAAAAGGAAAATAGAGATGGGAAGTGACACCCTGCGTTGCCCCATCTGCAGATAGCAGGGTGGGAGCAGGTTGCTAGTTAAGGTTGGGAGCTTCCAGCCCGCTGGGGTTGATTCTGAGAATCCTTGGGTTTTTCAGTTATAGGACAAATAGAGGAGGGGCTCAGTTCCCAGGGTCTTTGAAAGGATGGACACTGATCATTTCAACCAGGGGGAGGTGGGCTGGGGAGAGCAGGGGGAGGCAAGCATATTACCTGTATTCCTGCACCTGGGGACCTTGCCGTTCTGTCCATCCCTGTGTCTTTGTTGGGCAGCCCTTCCTCCAAAGTGATGTGTCCTCTTCAGGTCTCAGGGAGGACAGAGACTGCTCAACTCAAACCCTCCTTGGCCAGCTTCTTCCAGGCCTCCCTGAGGAAGCCCTTGAAGTGTAACTTCCACCCACTTCACTACAGATTGGTTTGAGAGCCTGGTAGGTCATTCCACAAACACACATGCACTTCTCAGCTTCTCAGAGCTTCAGGAGGACAGAGGGGGTGAGTCCCCCGTCCTTGTTCCCACCTAATATTCCACTTAGATTTTGACCTCCGTGGCAATAACAATCTCAATCATTCTTGAAACCTGTACTGTGCTTTATAGTTTTGCAAAGTGCTTTATAGAAGTTAGATTCCAAGAAGGGTTTCCCATCCTATGGGGTAAGGGGGAGACTGAGAACAGCCCCCAAGGGTACAGAGGCAGGGGTCAGGTGACCCTGACCCTAGCCCTCTACTCCAATCCACTTCATCTGTAAGTGTTCAGGTAGAGGTCTTTGATGGTGCCTCAGCCTGGGGGCACAATGGCCCTCACTAAAATTGGGAACCCTGGCCTCTGTATCCCAGAGATAACTACTTTTTAAAGCACTTGCCTTCTACCACCTCCAGCTTGCAATCAGGGTGTCCCCTTCCCTCCTGTCCAAGGGAGTGCAGAGGCCCCTGGGCTCTAATTTGTTTAGAGGAGCCTGCTCCATTACACCAATGACTGTCATTCCCCTTCCTGGCCCTAGATCCCAAACACATCTCCCTCTCCCCAATTTACTCTTCTCGCCCCACCGCCCCACCTAGGGACAGATTTTCCCCCTGCTCTTATTGTCCTAGAAACCCCCGCTAGTTTGGGAAGGTAGCGTCTGGGGTGGGGAGGGCTGCCCCTTCCCCACTCCAGGGTGCGGGTGGGGTAGGGTGGGTGGGGGGAGACAGCCCTGGGGCAGGGGACGGTCTCTCCACTGTAGAAAGTAGAGTAGGATTGTGGTCAGTTAATTCGAGGCATCTAGTGAAGACACATCCACCAAGGAAAAATGTTTCAAATGCAAAATAAAGGCGGGAAACAAAATGGACCCATGAATAATCAAGTCAAAATGATGTTGCACAAAAATGCAGAGAAACCAAGAAGGGGGAGGGTTAATGTATTAAATGTGCTATTAAGAACTTAATTTTATTAAAAGTATTATTACTTAAGACTCAAGCTTCATCTTTTGTGTATGGGTCCAAACCTGGGGGGTGGAGGCACGGGGTTCTCTAGTATAATTCTGGTACCCCTGCCCACCTTGCAGGACGCAGGACGGCTCCTGCCTGCTCTCCGCAACTCTACTTGAGTCTCCAAGTGCTCAGTTCCCTCTCAATTCTCTCCATCACCCTTTCTATTCCCTGGGGGTGCAGCCAGACTTTCTACCCTGCCCTGCAGAACAGGGGAAGGCCAGGCCCTGCCCAGACAACTAACTCCTGGGCTCTGATGGAGAAAGGGCAGAGAGCTGAGACCCTACTCATCCCCACCAGATTCAATCCATCCCTACACACCCCCTTTTTGGGGTCAGGGAGAATACCATGGAAGACTTGAACCTTCCACTTCCTAGGCTTAAACCTTACTCTTTCCCAGTATTCACAGACAGGGCTCACCCCGACTCCCTTTCCCTGTAACATCGCCTCCTCCCTCACCCCTGGCATTGGAGTGACCTCAGTTCTTGGCACCAGGGCCCTGGGCACCAGATGGTGCCTGCCGATGGTTTTCTTTGTCTTGCCTTCCAGATACCCACTCTCTACCATGCTGTCCTCCCTCCCCCACCTGCCCTGGGGGTTGGCAGAGGGAAGGGCGGGCACCTCCCGCCCCCTTGGCACTGTCCCCAGACTACAGGACTCCAGAGGCAGCTGGCCCTGGGGGGCAGTGAGTATGGTAGGAGGGAAGGGGGGAGGAGGGGAATAGGGGCTCAGAGGAGGGGCCAGAGTCGAAGGGGAGGCAGCAGGATGGCCAGGCCTTGGTACAAAATAGCTTTATTTGATGGCCTTAGCCTGAGGGGTACACTGATGATAGATATGTGTGGTGCACGTGAGGACCTTAGAGTCTTACAGCTGGGTGGGGCTGTGAACAGGGAATAGACCACTGGCGTCTGGAACTGCGGGACAGGGAAGATTCTGGATCTTGGAAAGCAGGGGGTACCAGAAAGCCAGTGGGGGCAGGGTTGGTGCTAACCAAGGTCAGAGGCTGATGCAACAGGCCCTCTTCTCGCCAAGGCCTGACTCCTGACCAGCCTGGGCACTGCCCAGGGTGATGGCGTTGGTCCGGGTGCTGTTCTGCCTCTGTTTGGACACCTTTACGAAGATCTCTGAGAGGGCAGAAGGCAGTGACAAGGTCATAAGAGGATTTAGAGCCCATGTTCCCCCATCACACACCATGTGCCCCTTTCTTGGTGGGTGGGTCGGGAGGCACATTTTGAGGAGGTTTTGCTGGAGGAACGTGAAATTTGGGAACTTGGGTCCCTTCTACTTACCTGGGTGAAGAAATAAAATTCAGCTCCTGGTAAATGTGTCCTTCTGGTTATTTCCCTAAACTCCAAGATGAGTGGGGAGCTCTAGGGAGGGTCTGAAGGGGATACCGGGAGGTGCTAAGGAGATTAGGGACCCAGAGTAGGGCTGAGGAATCAGCTGGGTTGAGAGCTAGTGTCTATACTCCTACCACTGCCCCCAGAGGCCATGGGATGGAATGGAGGTGCAATGTGGAAGTAGGGGCTCTAACCTTTGAGGACAGTTTCAAAGGCCAGCTCAACATTGGTGGAGTCCAAGGCTGAGGTCTCCAGGAATAGCAGCCCATTGTTTTCTGACAGGAGAGGAAACACACCATTAATTGTGGGGGTCAGTGGCAATACTAAGAATATTTACTTAATATTTATCAGTACATTTGCTGTGTGTTAAAGGCTTGGCATGTGGGAATTCCTTTTGTCTCTAAAGCAGCCTATGAGGGGGCCTCCTTGGTGGAGCAAGGATTAAGATGCAACCTATGTAGCAATCTGCAGCCACTGCAGCAGGAGTTTGATCCCCTGCCAGGGAGCTACCCATATTGTGCAGCAGACCTCTCCTGACTCACCGGCTGCTCCACTCAACAGTGTATTTTAGGCAGTCTGCCTGTTCTGCTCCCTACTCTGTCTCTGGTGAATCGTCTTACCCTCCCCACACACCTCTGGCCTGTACCCCAGCTCTTGTATGCATAAATAAATAAATCTTAAAAAAAAAAAAAGCAGCCTATGAACTTGGTCCAAATACTATCCCTTTTTTATGAAGAGGAAACTGCAGCCCAGAAACAGCAAGAATGAAGAACTTGCTCCATGTCCCACATCAGGTAACTGGCCAGAGATATGAGGCTGGGTTTTGGAGCTCTTGAGCCAGCACCCTTAACCATTCTATCTTGCAGCCTCTAAACCCCAGAAATCTCCTGAGGAGAGTGTGGCTGGGAGTGGTCAAAGGAACCATCTACTGGTGAAGGAGCAGCCACCTGCCCCACCCAGAATCTCTGAGCATTGCAGCATGGGGCTATCTTAAAATCAGCTGTAAATAATAGCCCATAAAAACAACCTCAGGACAAGTGGTAGGACAGAACAACAGACATCGGATCAAAGAGGAGAAGGGCTAGGAGTCTGAGGAAGGGATGGAAATAGAGGATCTCTGGAGAAATTCAGGCTGGAACCCCAGGGTGGGAACAGGGGCTGGGGAGGCAGGGGCTGGGGTTGGAAGGGTCAGACAGGGTCAGAGTGGGCTCTCACCAGCAAACATGCGGGCCTCGTCAGTAGGCACCTCCCGGGCCTGGCTGAGGTCACTCTTGTTACCCACAAGCATGACTACGATGGTGGCCTCGGCGTGGTCGTAGAGCTCCTTCAGCCAGCGCTCTACCACGGCATAGGTCTGGTGCTTGGTCAGGTCAAATACCAGAAGGGCTCCCACTGCACCACGATAGTACCTGGGGGGCAAGGGTGGGGATAGGCAGAGGCAAGGTCAGGGCCATAGGACCTAGCCTCAGAGCACAGCCCTTAAGTTAAAAAGCCAGAGATGAGACCCAGGGATCAGGCCCCAAACCAGCAGCCTAGGGCTCCTGTGCTTGATGCTGAGAGCCCTCTAGGGATACTGGGGTGGGGGTGGGGCTCTGAAAACTCATCTCCTTGCACTAAAAACATTGGCTCCCTGCTTCCCTCCTAGCCCCTCTGCTTTCTCAGTTCCTTTGCTCAGACTCTGATCCTGCTGTCCAACCAGACCATGCATACCTGGGCTCTGGTCAAGTCTGCCTGCTGGATTCCCCACTTCTGAGATCTTCCTCAAGTGTCTCCTTGACAGTGCCCTCTTCTCTCTGTGGCCATCATTTTAGGACTGGCTAAATGCACACCCCAGGGGGCAGTCCCTGACTTGACTGCTTGACTGCCTGAGGCAACTTGAGAGCATTTAGGATAACTAGAGTTACATGGGGCTTGATCAATGGTGACAGAAGCCCCAGTCCTGCTTCCTGCCCTGACGGTGCTGTCCTTGCCTCTCCTTCACCACCCCAGACCACCTTGCCACATTTGGCCTGACAGTGACTGGAAGACTCCTTGCTTGTGCTCTCTGGAGCCCAACTTCCTGTATGTCCTCTGAGTTTTTGTAAATGAGGGGAGGGGTACAGCTTTCATGTTTGTGGTTACATGGCGATGCTTACCAAGTCCAAAGCCCTGTGCAGATGTGAGGGGTGCTTTCCATCCCATAACTGGCTCCCTCCCAGCTCCACCCTGATTTCACCTGCTAGAGCCTCCAGCTTTTTTTGCATTTAAACAGGGATTAGTTATAATACCTTACTCCTGTGGTCCTTTGAGGATTATATAGAATGCTCCTAGAAACTAGTGCCTCGTACCTTACTGGGCATGTGGCAAAGGCTTAGCAAGAGGTGACTGGGACTGTGGCTTTCAGTCCCAGTAGTCAGGATAATTGGCCTTTGTCTCAGACTGCAGCTCACACTGCTTGTGTCACTAGCAACTGGGACTTGGTGTCCTGTGGTCCCAGCTGGGAAGCACGCTGCTGAGTGCCCTTGCTTCCTGCCCGCTATTCTCCTCCAGAGGTGACTTCCCGGCCCCAGCCCTACCCCAGCCGCCCCAGACCCATGGCTCACGCAGAAGTAATGGCTCGGTATCGCTCCAGGCCAGCTGTGTCCCAGATCTGAGCCTTGACTGCAGCGGTGCCCAACATGACTGTGCGGGTGGAGAACTCGACCCCAATGGTGGTGCGGCTGTCGTGGCTGAACTCATTGCGTGTGAATCGGGATAGCAGATTGGTCTTGCCCACGCCTGACTCGCCGATTAGTACCACTGAGGGAGCAGAGAAATAAGGGATGAACTCCGGCAATACCCTCAGCTCATCTGAGCTTGGAGTGTCTGCCCACAGAAAAGTGCAATGAGCTTAGATAACTGAGGGGAACCAGGTCCCCTGGCAGAGAATGGGGTCTGCAACTCTGCCTGATTCATCCATCCCGGACAGTGGACAGAAAGGCCAAGAGAGGGGGCCTCCCTGGTGGCCTAAGGTTAAGTCTCTGTGCTACCATCGTGGAGGCCCACCGTGACGGCCTGAGTTCAATCCCCAGTCAGGGAGCTAAACCACATGTTACAGCAGACCTCTCCTGCCTAGCCCACTTCTCCCCTTAGCACTTCTCCCCTTTACTGTATTTCAGTAAATCTGCCTGTTCTGCTCCCCACTCTGTCTCTGGTGAATCCTCTCACATACCCCACCCCCAACCTCTGACCTACACCCCAGCCAGGGAGCTAAACCACATGTCACAGCAGACCTCTTCTGTCTCACCCCCTGCTCCCCTCAGTAGTGTATTTCAGTGGATCTGCCTGTTCTGCTCCCCATTCTGTCTCTGGTGGATCCTCTTACTACCACCACCTACCACCACCTAACTGCAACCCAGTTCTTCTACACAAAAATAAGTAAATAAAATCAAATCTTAAAAAAAAAAAAAAAAGGCCAAGAGGAGAGAAAGGCTCAGGGTCCTCGGCCTGGTCTGTTGAGACCTAGCTACAGTCAACCTGCATTCCTGGTGGTAGAGTGATGCCTAGGCACCATTTGTGGGCATCAGAGAGCGGGGGATGTGTAGAGACCTTAGCCATGAATCTGGGCAGGTATGGTAGGAGGTCTAGCGGGGCAGGGAGTATTCACTTCTGGACTAGGGAGTGTGGGAACATGCTGACTATCTGTATATAAGCTAGGAGCATGTATGTGGGGGAGGTCTGGGGTGTGTGTTTGCATGGGGAGCAGAGGTATGCATACAAGTATGGGAGAGAAGAGTTTGGCAGGTGATACATCTGTGGAGGGGAAAGGTGTGGAGGTGTGTGTGTAGGAAGTTAGGGTGCAGTTGTCCCTTTGGAGGGTCAGTCTTCATGAGGCTTGAGCATGAGGCTGTGTGTCCTTTAGCAAATAATTTAACCTCTTCGAAATTTTTCACTTGAAAAATGACAATAGCATCCATTTTACGGTTGTTACAGAGGTAAGTGAGATATTGCCCAGGATACAGTGAGTGTGCAGACTGTTATTGCTAGGACAATTTTTTAAAAAGATTTATTTATGCATGCAAGAGCTGGAGTGCAGGCCAGAGGTGTGGGGGGTGAGAGGATTCACCAGAGACAGAGTGGGGAACAGAACGGGCAGATCGACCAAAGTACACTGCTGAAGGGAACAGCGGGCAAGTCAGGAGAGGTCTGCTGCCCCATGTGGGTAGCTCCCTGGCTGGCGATTGAACTCATGCTGCCGACAGCTTCACAGGCTGCATCTTAACCCCTTGTGCCACTGGGAGGCCCTCTAGGACAATTATTGGTAGGCAGTGCCTGTACCTTCAGAGTTTCAGGGATCCACCAGAGGGGCGTGAAGAGACTTTGGGCTGATGGGCAACATCCAGAGCTCAGCCTTGCCCTCCTCCCCCTTCCACACCTCGTGTGAGTGAGCTGGGGGCTGGATTACAGTGGGAGGAACTTATGTAAACCCAAACCACAAATTGTACCAACACTGAGCTGACCATCCAGGATTAGAGGTGGCCACTTAAGATGGCTCTGGAAAGGCAGGCTGCACATAAGGACTGGTAGTCACACATGTTGGGCTCTTGTCCACACTAGTTAGTTATGTGACCTTGAACAGATAGTTTGCCTTTTCTGGGTCTGTTTCCTTGTTTATAAAATCAATCAAGACTTCCTCTAATTAAAAAAAAAAAAAAATCCTCCTTATTTGTATAGGCTGTGAAAGTCCTGGGCACAGTAGGGGTGTGTGTGGGAATGCTTCCTCTCCCCTGCTGGGAGCTTCACCCCATCCAGCACTGACTTGGGTTTGAATTTCATGACCTTTAACAAGCTAGCTTGTTAAAGCTAGCTTGTCTCTCATTCTCACTGTAAGTGGAGATAGTAATGGTTTGCTTTTATTGAGCCTGCTAGATGCCAGGTACCAGCCTGAAGACTACACACATCCACTCAGTTCACCCTCACGACAGTGCCACAAGGCAAGTCCCACTGTTGCCATTCCACTTTTATAGACAAACTGAGGCACTTGTGGATTAAATGGCCTGTGCAAAAAAATAGCACTGGTGTGGTAAATACAGATGTGTTGCCACACTTGCCTTCAAGGAAGGCAGCTGTGGGGAGTGCAGGCAGGAGTTGGCTCCTTCCCATTTGCCTCACCTAGTGGGGATGGTGGGGGTATCACAGAGCTCCCTGCCCTGGGCCAAAACTTTGCGACCCTACCTTGCAGCTAGACTTCTCCCTCTCCCAGTCCTGTTTCCTCCCCCTTCCTTTCAGTGTTGCTGATCCACAACAAACATCTCATACCCCAAACTTCTGTGTCTCCACCTGGAGACCCAGCCTGAAACAAGGAGTAAGTGGGAGCGCTGACATCTGAACATATCTGGCTCCAGACCATCATGCTTGCTTTCTTCCTTTTTTTTTTTATAAGGCTCATTAATCTTTTTTTTTAAAGATTTTTTTATTTATGCATACAAGAACTGGGGTACAGGCCAGAGGTGTGGGGGGTGGTTGAGAGGATTCGCCAGAGACAGAGTGGGGAGCAGAACAGGTGAATCCACTGAAATACACTGCTGAGGGGAGCAGTGGGAGAGACAGAAGAAGTCTGCTGTGCCATGTGGGCTGCTCCCTGGCCAGCCTGGTATTGAACTCATGCTGCAGTGTCTGGTGACAGCCCAATAGCACTGTCTTTAACCCCTGCACCACCAAGGAGGTCCACCATTATGCTTTCAATGAAAGATGACTTTTCAGATTGTTACAGTGACTAAAAAGATAGTGATTGAAATATACTAAGGGTTCAATAAACTAGCAGTTTGGGTTTAGTATGTTACTAGTGGTATTGCCCCAGACTACTGCTAACCCTTACACTTTTCCCTCCTTCCTGAGAAAGATGCCAGGAGTACAGGTTCCCCAACCTCAGTCAGGTGTCTGAGGGCGGGGCTGCGGCTGGGAGAGGCAGTAGGGTGGGGTGGGGTGGCTGGACAGACTCCTAGAGCTCTGCTAGCCCACCCTGTCTTGAAGGAGTCTAAGAGGGGCTTCCCAGCTGGGGAGTGGGGGGGGGTAAGGGGTGGGGGTATGAAAGAGAGACCACCGGAGGCACCAAACATAGCAGCTGAAAAAAGGGTGCAAGAAAGATACCAGCACACTAGTGCCTTAGCCAGCTCTCTGAAGAGGTAGCTCTCTCCTTTGCTGTATATCTGCCCAGAAAGATGACTTTCTTCCTCTTAAGTCTGTTTGTTTTCCCTTTTCTCAGGAGGGAAGTCCTCTCTGAAGTCTGTCCTCCGCCTCTTAAGGAGCTTGGCTGAATATTTCCAGGGATTTGGGCTTCCTTAGGGGTCAGATAGAGGAGCCTAACTCAGCACTATTAAGGCAAGATCAACATTTTTAGTTTACATCTAGGAGCATTCTGGCAGCTCCAGGACTTTTGCCAGACCCTCCCCCACTCCCTGCAGCTTTCTTTCTTAACCAAGGGAATGAAGAGCCCTGGGTGGGGGTGGGGGCTGGGAGGTGGTACTGGTTAAAGATAGAAGACAGGGTCCGTCTCTCTGGCTCTGTTGATCTCTGTCTGGGTCTCTCTCAAGTATCCTCTTTCTTTCTGGACCCCCGACTCACCCTTGAAGACAAAGTTATAATCTTCCTCGGTTCCATTCCCCATCTTGGCTCCGCATGGAGGTTGCAAATGTCTTCAGGGGCAGAGGTGACAGGTCTATGCGTTGGCTCTATGCCCTCAACCCTCAGCTCTTGAGAAGCTGGGATCCGCTCCTGCTCTCATTGGGGGTAAAGAAACTTCTGCAGCCAGAGGGGCTGAGAGCTGAGTTAAGGCTAGGCAGGACCGAGGGAGGGTCAGCTCTAGCAGGTGGGGGAGCGTAAGGAAGCTGAGAGGACGGAAGCCGAGAACAGGAAGAGCAGGCAGCTGGAGACCTGGGGCCCAGGTGGGTGGAGAGATGATGACGTCAGACAGGTTAGACAGGTTGGGTGCCTGCTCTCGGCCTGGGCTCCTGAAAGTAGGCGTGCGGGCTCCAGGGGGTGCTAATAGGGGGAACTGGGACTGGGACAGGACCTTCAGAGAGCCAGCTAAGGACAGAGTGCACGTTGCTAGGTCTTGGGAAGTGTGGCCAGATAGCAGTTAGTGAGCAATAACTGTCAGGGAACAGAAATCTACGTGGCGTCCAACTTTATCCTTTAAAGTCTGTGGTAGGAGTAACTGGGGGCAGCTGATGGGGTGCCAGTCATCAGGTTGCAGTGCAGAGCTCTGGGACCTGCAGCTTGATTACAGCAACTTTGGCCTCTCCCCAACAGCTCAGCCTGGGATGAGTAATTTCTCACCCTGGGTGGAGCTGAAACTTGCCTCCTACTTCCCTCTACCCCAGCTCAAATGGCAGTGAATGTGGAGAACTGGGGCAGAAACAGCCAACATGGGGTGAGGGGTCTCAGTGCAGCGCCAGGATCTGGAGATGAAGGCCTATGAGACATCTTGTGGGCTTCTACTGCCTCTCCAGGATTTGAGCCTCACATAAAACCATCCTCTCGGCAAAAGTCTTCAAGATCTAGAGGTTCCTGTGAATACATGAATGCCTAGCAGGAAAGGGATGGCCCCTTGAAGGTAGCTAAGGGACATCCTTGCAACCCCAATGGCAATCCCCAGGGCCTATATATATGTACATACATTATATGTACGTACATATATATGTACGTACATATAATGTTATATATAAATATGTGTATATATGTATATAAAAATGTGTATGTGTGTGTGTGTGTATATATATATATATATATATATATATATATCCCACCCCTAAGGAAGCCTCCCAAAATGTGTGTGTATATGTGTATGTGTGTTTACACACACACACACACACACACACATATTTTTTTTTCACAAACTGAAAGAAGTTTATTGGACAGGAGAGAGGTCCCCTTGTGGAAATCCTGAAGATCAGGAAAGGCAGTAGGGGCTCAGTAGGGCAAACTAGGATGGAGAAAAACACCAAACCAAAGGTAGCTATCCCACCACCCTCTTCTGGGTCCAAGAGACCTCTTAGCCCTGCTTCTCTATGTGCAACTGCCTCTAGGCAGGCCTGCTTTCCCTATACTGCCAGCAAGTGGGCCACATGCCTCTCCCTCCCTGTATTTTCCTCCAGCATGACCCCCATCAAGACCCTTGCTTCTCTGAGCTCACTCCCAACGTTTTGCCAGGCAGGTGGGGAAGACTCTGCTCTGAGGGACAGGGCGTAGTGACAGCACATCACTGGACAGACTGAGGGAGTTGAGGCACCATTGCCAAAAGCCTTTTTGTTGTTTAGGTCATGGAGGGGTACGTGGAAAGCCATCTTTGAAAGGCATGAAGAGTCCTCTAAGCAATCCCAGCTCCTCCCTATCCCTGGTGAGTCCTCCCTCACAAGAAAGCAAGCAAGACACAGGTAAGAGTTTAAATTTATTTATTTTCTTTTAAAGATTTATTTATTTATTTATACAAGCACTGGGCACAGTCAGAAGCATGGGAGGGTGAGAGAATTCACCAGAGCCAGAGCGGGGAGTACAGCAGGCAGAAGGACCGAAGTACACTGCTGAGGGGAGCAGCGGGCGGCAGGAGAGGTCTGCGCACCACGCGGGACCCTCCTCCGGTGGCCGGGGAGCAGCCGGGGATCGAACCGGCGCTGCAGAGGCTGCGGGCAGCTTCACAACCCAGCGCTCAACAACTGTGCCACTGGGAAGGCCCTAAATTTATGCTTGGAAAAAACAAAATCCCATCCTCACTCCATAGTTCAGGAAGGTTTCCCCAGGGGGCCCTGCCCCTCTAAATGGTCATCTCTTTTCTGACTCTAGCTTCCACCGATGTCCACTATGATGCTGCTACTTGGGTGAGGGGCTCCTCCAGGTACTGCACCAAGGCCTGGGCCTACAAGAGAGGTAGCAGAAATCAGTCCTCACCATGATCTGCTACTACAGGGATCCCAAATCCAGGCCCATGCCCAATGCAGAGCCCCTGCTGCTCCTGGGAGTTAGCCCACACCAGATATTACATGAGGACCACGCCAAAAAGGTGGCGGGGCTGGGAGTGCACAGTGATGAGGCAGGAAGGCTGGACCCAGGGTTATGCAGGAATGGGTACATACACACCTTGGCCTTGAGCATTCCGAAGCCAACGGTCTCCTTGGCATACATACACAGCAGAAGGTTGGCCACTCGGGTAATGGCGACACGGCCCTCCTGGTGGGGTGATAGCATGGGATGTGATGCACGGCTGACACCCTTAGCCCCCTCTGTCCTCAAGTGCTCCCTTTGAGACTATCTCTTCCTTCCATGTCTGTCCCGGAAAGCAGGAGCTTCAGAAGTGATGCTTTGACCACTCTCCTAGACACAGGTCACACACAATCTTTTTTTTTTTTTTTAAAGATTTAACTTATTTATTTTTGTGTAGAAGAACTGGAGTGTAGGCCAGAGGTGGGGGGGCGGGGTAATGAGAGGATTCACCAGAGACAGAGTGGGGAGCAGAACAGGCGGATTTACTGAAATATACTCTAAAGGGAGCAGTGGGAGAAACAGGAGAGAGGTCTGCTGCACCATATGGGTTAGCTCCCTAGCAAGTATCAAACTCAGACCATAGAGATGAAAGTGCTGAGACTTAACCCTTAGGCCACCAGGAGGCCCAACATGAGGCTTTGAGCCCAGATTCCAGCCTCAGCACAGGTACTTACTAAACAAGTTATTCAGGGATATTCATTCTCCCAGGAACTTGGTTTCCCTTTTTTTTTTAAAAAAAAAAAAAAAAAGATTTATTTTTTTATGCATATAAGAGCTGGGGTGCAGGCCAGAAATGCAGGGAGTGGGAAGATTCACCAGAGACAAAGTGGGGAGCAGAACAGACAGATGTACTGAAACATACTGCTGAGGGGAGCCGCAGGTAAGACAGGAGAGGTCTGCTGTACCATGTGGGTAGCTCCGTGGCTGGGATGGAAGTAAACTTGTGCTGCAGTGACTGCTGATAGCTTCATAGTGCTGAGACTTAATGCCTTGCACCACCAGGGAGGCCCTGGTTTCCCTTTTTGAAATGGAAACCTACTTCACCCCAGTGGGTGAGGGTGCTAGTAATAGGAAGATTTGTATCTGCAAAGGGCTGCCCAAATGGGTGATGTTACTATTATAGGTTCACCCCAAAGATACTATAAGGGACTTGAGAGCAGTAACCAAACTTTTATTTCTCTTTTCCCATGGTAATGTTTTTCAAAATGCAGGTCTGACCCCAGGATTAGGAGCTCAGTTAAGAAGGTTGCTCACCACTAAAAGAAAGAGGGAGGGGCCTCCCTGGTGGTAGAAGGGGTTAAGTCTCAGCACTATGAAGCAGCAGGCCTCTCCTGTCTCACCTGCCCCACTGCTCCCCTCAGCAGTGTATTTCAGTCATTCTGTTCTGCTCCCACTCTGTCTCTCATGAATCCTCTCACCCGCCCCTCCCCTGCACCTCTGGCCTACACCCTAGCTCTTGTATGCAAAAATTAAAAAAAAAAAAAGAGAGAGAGAGAGAAAGTGAGAAAAAGTCCTTTGCAAGTAGTAAGGGAAGTACTGTTTCATCAAACTTGTTTTAGCGGGTATAACTTAAAATGAGCTCTGATTTAAAATATATTTATGGTGTGGTTGAAGTTAAACAGCTTGAAAACTATGGCCCTATTGCACCAGCTCTAGGTTATGCAGCTCTAGGTTATCCCAGAAGGCGCCATCAATTTAAATGAAATGACATCCTTGGTTGGGGAGGGGGTGGGAAAGAGGTAAGCAACTGAATTACATGGAAATCCTTCCTGGAGTTCACCCTTCGGGACTGTTTAATCATTCAGCAAACTTTCACTAGGTAGCCACTATGCACTGAGAACAGGTACTGTGCCAGCTACTTCTCTGGTCTCATCTCCTACTGCTCTCCCCCTATTCTCATGATACTCCAGTCACATAAACCTCCTTGATCCTTGACCAGAAACCATTCTGCCTCAGGGCCTTTGCACTTGCTGTTCTGTCAGAAATGTTTTCCCCTCAGAGTCTCACACTTCCTCAGTTCTTCCATGAAATGCCTCCTTTTCAGTGAGACTGTCCCTGACCCATGCCCTCCTTTATCTCATTTCCTTTATTTTCTCCATAACAACTTCAAAATCTATCATACTATTTTTTTTAAATTTCATACATATTTTACAAAACATATATACAACCTTATTTTACCAAACATACATATTTTACTTGTTTTAAGGCATATTTAAGACTATAAGCTTCTTTAGTAGGGCTGCAGTTTCTGTCTGTCTTGTTGCTACCTTCCCCCCAGGGACCTAAATATTGGTACAAAGCTGTCAGTTTCTGTTTTCAGAAGTTCACTACCTGCTGGCTACTTCCCCTTTCTGGACTGCATTTCCTTTCTCTGTAAATTGACGGGATTAGACTAGGTGCTGGAGACTCTGCCATGGGTCTGTGAATCTGGGATGAAAACACTTTACATTTGCATAGCACTCTATAGTTTACATCCACTCTTTCATATGATCTTCAAAATAATGTGAGATGGTGGTGGTAGGGAAATTATTGTTTCCACCTTAGGCGTGTGGTAAGGAAGCTCTGAGAAGTTAAAATAACTTACCTAAGCTTCCACAAATGATAAACGGCTGGGTGAGAACCCCAGCCAGACCTCGGTCCAGGACTCTTTCCTCACCATCATTTGATGCATAGGGTCCTGCCTATCATAAACGCTGTTGCAGACTAATTTAGTAATCTTCCGGAAATCCTGTCCCTGCCCTTCCAACCATCCAGGGTGGGATCCAGGTTATTCCCTGGGGATCCCCTTGGGGGACAGGGGGCATGGCTCCCCTCTCCATACCATGCAGTCCATGAGGATGAATTTGAGATTGTCTTCATTAAATGCTTGGTTGCCATTTCGGTCGTAGGCGGCCCAGATGTTACTAGCGATGGCCGCGGTGACCCGGGCGTCTGTATCCCCGTAACCAGAGTAGGCCAGCAGAGATCCTTCGTTATTCAGCAGCCTGGCGAGGGACAGGAAGGGATATCGACGTACTCAAGGACATGAAATAAAACGCCCGGGTTCCCACCCCAATACCCGCCACTGGTGCTTCTAGAAAACAAGGGTCCGGACAGTGTCCAGGAATGTGCCCCGAGTACCCAGCACGCTCGTCCCGCTACCTGCAAAGGCCCTCTGCTACCTTCTCCCTTCCGGGGATCCTCCCCCAACCCTCCTTCTGAGAGCCGCCCCACACCAGTGCTCGCCAATCGAGTCCTCGGTCGGCACTCACAGGGTGCTCTGGACACCTCCGGTGTTGGCTTGGCTTAGCACTTGGGTCAAAGCCTTGGGTCGCAGCATGCCTGTGGCTCGTAACCCTGGGCTTTTGCACCCAGATCCCGGAGTTGCTACCCGCCGACCTCCGCAGGCCACTTCCCGTAGTCCAGCGGCTCGGCTCCGGAACGCCCTGGGAGTTGTAGTTTCCAGGCCTGGCTTTTGTGGCTTGGACGCCGCACCGTCCCAGCGCAGGGGGCGCTGGGAACTGTAGTTCCTTATGGCCGCGCGCGGCACCCTGGGAGCTAGAGTTCGCCTTTGCAGTCAGACCACGCGGTTGTGGGGGGAAAGAGCGGGAGTGGGGGGACAGGGCAGCTCTAGAAGGATGTTTAACCACTTCGGGGAGAGAAAAGTCCTCACGTCCTCTTGGCAATCACGATTCCATTTTTTTTCCAAGTCCCCGTTTTTGTCAGGCACACCTTTGGCTACTTTGCAAAGCAATTCTCTACGTGCTACACAATCCTGCGAGACGGGGAGGTGGAAACGACTGCGAGTGTCGCGGAAGCCCGGGGGCGGCAAGGCCGCGCGGCAGAACGCGGCCTCCGGTGCCGTCCTGGATCAGACCTTCACTCAGGCCGCGGCCCTCGGGGAGACGTGGGCAATCCCAGAAATGGGCGCCTCGTGGGCGTCCGACAGTGGGGAAATGCGCCCTCCTTGCCGGGAGAAGCCCCGCCTGGAAACGCTCTGGCTTCCCACTTGTCACAGGGGCCCGAGATAAGGCGGCGACGCAGAAAGTCCTTTGTCCCGGGCGGGAGCTGCCCGCGGGGCGGGGGCCGCGTCGGGGCGCGGGAGCCCGGGCGCCCGGGGCGGGGGCCGGGGAGTGGGCGCTCGCCCGGGGCGCGCCCCCGGCCCGGCCCGGCCCGGAGTCCCTCCGGGGCCGCCGCCCAGAGAGGCCGGGTCGGGGCGGCGGGACCCCGGCCTCGGCGCTGGGCGGCCCCTGCTGCAGTGGCCCCCCGGTCCGCCCGGGGCGCTGTGCGCGGCTGGTCCGGAGGGGGCGGAGGAGCCTTCGGGAGGGAAGGGGAGTGTTGGAGGCGCCGGGGCCGCGCGGGGCTGGCCGGGCGGGCGGGGAGGAGGAGGAGCCGGGGCGGGCTGGCGGGCGGCCGGGTGGCGGCGGCGGCATGGCGGAGCCAAGCGGGGCCGAGACGAGGCCCCCCATTCGGGTCACCGTCAAGACCCCCAAGGACAAGGAGGAAATTGTGATCTGCGATCGAGCCTCGGTCAAGGAGGTAGCGCGGGCGGCGGGGTGGGGTGGGCGCGCGGAGGAGGGGGTCCGTGAGCCGAGGGGTGGCTCAGGGACGGTGACGGCCGGGCTCGCGGGAGGACGGGGAGAGAGGGCGCGGGCCCGGCGGACTCCCGGAGTGGCGGAGGGGGCGGGCGAGGGGAGGGGGCGTCCTGTGAGGGTTATTTGGGGGAGCGCGGCGCGTGCTGGGGAGGGGAGGCCAGCTCTAGCCTTGTGGCCTGGGCTGGGGGCGTGGTGGGGAGTGGGGAGGGGACACCTTGCTTAGGGACGGGGGAGGGACCGTGGGTTTGAAGGGAGTTGCGCCCGTGGTTGCTGGTCGGGGTTGGGGACCTGGAAGCAGAGTGGGGGGCCGGGGCAGGGTGCTGAGCCGGGAGAGGCGGCGGGGGGCGCAGCGGAGCGCTCGGGGCGCATACTGTGAGCCTACAAACGCCCAGGCTACTCTGAGCGCCTGGTGGTGGGGGGAGGATACCCCTCTCCCCAGGTCCTCCCTCCTCTTTCGAATCGTGGCGGTTACATCTAGTTCTCAGCTCCTCCGGGATTTACATACCGTGCAGTAGGTGCTCAATAAAAATGTGTTGAATGAGTGAATGAGCTAATATTGCCTGTGTTCGCCACCCCCCTCTGACTGCTTCACAGTTTCACATAGGAGGGGCTTAAGATAGGCCTTCTGGTTGGAAGACAGGAATCTGGAAGCTGCCTTTGCTTAGCAAGTGCACTGCTTTTACTTAGGTTTGTGTTTTGTTTGGTTTGGAAGGCTACTGATTGATTGGGGGTATCTTACTCTCCCCAAGTCTGCATTTAAAGGTGCCATCACTGCCCGCCCCACCCCCCACCCCCGTTATTTGACTACTTTTCACGAATTTAAATTATTTTGCCTACAAAGTTGAATTTGAAATTGGCTCTATTTGAGAAATATTGTGTTTGGTTAAGAGCCTGGGCTGAGTTCATTCCAGTCAGCACAGGACAAGTTACCTAACCATACAGATCCTTCCTTTTCTCATCTTTGAAATGGAGAAAATAATATGTTTCTCCTGGGACTTAGACTTTTAAACTTGTGAATGTGCGTGCAGTTATTTATAAACTGGCATGTATTTGTTGTAGTTGTTGCAGGAAGTTTGTGAATAAAGACAAGATAGTAACTTGGGGTCTAAGGAGAGAAGTCTGAAGGGTTTGAGGCTGTTGAGGGAGTTGAGATGAAGGGAGCTGCCAGGCAGGAATACCCTACCTGGGTGAAGACATTGCAGAGGGAGTGGCACATAGCAGTGAGGGCTTTGAGAGCCAGACACTCTGAGATAGAGCTGCCAGATCTGCCACACTGATCCATCTATGTGGTTAAAAAAGGAGCTACTTGAAACATGCTAAATATTCCTCCTAATTATTTTATCAATTATATTGCCTTTTTAATAGCTTCAATTAAATAATTGAATGACTAGTGAAAACAGAGGAAGGAGCAGCTTATTGTAGCTGAAGCAATGGGTGGAGACTTCACAAGGAGGTGGGAGTAAGGAAATGTAGAGACTCTTGAAGGAAAGGCAGGGTACTTGGTTGGTAGAGCGCTGGGGGTCTGCATAGTGACTTCTGCCTCTTCCTCACAGTTCAAAGAGGAAATTTCCCGGAGGTTTAAGGCTCAGCAGGATCAGCTGGTCCTGATCTTCGCAGGCAAGATCCTGAAGGATGGGGACACACTGAACCAGCATGGGATCAAGGATGGGCTCACTGTCCATCTGGTCATCAAGACCCCTCAGAAGTAAGTGCAGGAGAGGATCGGGTTCATTCTCTGATTGGACTTCCTCCCTACCCCCCACCCGCATTCTTTCTCACCCATGGCTCAACTGTATCTAGAGGGCCTGGAAGGTGACTTTTGGATGGATTGTGAGACAACCTTATGATCTCACCTGCAGAGGAAGGGAACCTGACTTACCTTCCCAGAATGCTACTCTCTTCTCTTGCCCCTGTCTGACTTACAGACTCCCCCTACCTGAGGGGTGCTTAGTTGATGGCTTGGGTTGGGGGCAGTAGGTGCACAGCAAACACAGAGATTATTGTCTTCCCTCTCCTTGTGTTCACACCAACCAGGATTTTTCTTTCTCTGTCCTTAGGGCTCCAGATCCAACTGCTGCCACTGCTTCTTCCCCCTCCACTCCAGACCCTGCCTCCGCACCCTCCACCACGCCTGCTTCACCCACCACCCCTGCCCAGCCCTCTACCTCTGGCAGTGCCACTTCAGATGCTGGCAGTGGAAGTCGGCGGAGCAGTGGGGGGGGGCCCTCCCCTGGGGCTGGGGAGGGGCCTCCCAGTGCTACTGCATCCATTCTCTGTAAGCCCTTAGAGGGGAGAGTGCAGTCCTATTTGGGGAGTGTGGGAGAGCCAAGGGGAGGGAGAAACGAGGTGCCTGCTCCTGGTCTGATGGGAATAGAATAGGGCACCTCTGGACATCATATTGCTATTTGAGCCAAGCTGGGGAGGAAGCCAGTCTGTGATAGCTTCCCAGAGGAGGGTAACCTGGCTAAATGTTAAGAATGAAGGGAGAGCTGGGGAATCCTGGGTGAGGATATTGGCACCTGGGTGAGGGTATTGGGGTGTGGGCCCCACAGTAGCTAGCTGGAGAACATGTGTTTCTCATTCAATGGGTTATCCTCTCTATGCTTAGTGCTATGCCAGCTCTCAACCTCAGCCATCAAAGAGGTTTCTTATCTTGGCAGCTCACGTATCTGCCTGCAGTGGATTGGGACTGAGGCTGTGGGAATGATTGGAAAGGGACAAGTGAGAATCAGACGGGGTCCCTCCTGGAAACCTGAATCAGTGGCCAGGTGGGGAAGAGCTCTTGAAGCTCATTATGACCCTGCTCCCCACCCCACAGCTGGCTTTGGGGGCATCCTGGGCCTTGGGAGCCTGGGCCTAGGCTCTGCCAACTTCATGGAGCTGCAGCAGCAGATGCAGAGACAGCTGATGTCTAATCCCGAGATGCTGTCTCAGATCATGGAGAACCCCCTGGTCCAGGACATGATGTCTAACCCTGACCTGATGCGTCACATGATCATGGCCAACCCCCAGATGCAACAGCTGATGGAGCGGAACCCTGAGATCAGTCACATGCTCAACAATCCCGAGCTCATGAGGCAGGTGGGTATGAGAGGAGTCTGGCCCTGCATCGGAATCACCTGGGGAGCTCGTCCTACCTTGTCCTACCTTGATCATTCATTCAGCAATTGTGTTTTAAATACTGGGGGTACAATGATGAAAAAATACAGGCCTTTATTTCTAGGAACTCCTGCTCTCAAAGGGAGGTGGTGTGAGTAAGCAGGCAGCTATAATGGGGTGGTCCGTGCTGTCATAAAGAGAATCACAGGATCTGCTAGGAGCACAGAGAAGGGCTCCTTGACCCTACTCTAGGGCTCAGAGGAGACCTTCGAGAGGAAGTGTGATCCAAGCTGAGACTTGACAAAGGAAGAGTGAACCAGGAGAATTAAAAGAGGGTTCAGGCCCTAGGGACAGCAAGTGCAAAGACCTGGGAGTTCAAGATAGTAGGATGTTTGAGAAGCCTGTGGTTGGGCAGGGCCAGATAGATAAGGGAACTCCAGAGGGGCCGCGTTTTGTGTTTTATTTTTAATTTATTTTAAATTTTTTTTTTTTTAATTTTTTTTTTTAAGATTTATTTATTTATTTATACATGCACTAGGTACAGTCAGAAGTGCGGGAGGGCGACAGAATTCACCAGAGCCAGAGCGGGGAGCAGAGCAGGCACAAAGACTGAAGTACACTGCTGAGGGAAACAGCGGGCGGCAGGAGAGGTCTGCGCGCCATGTGGGACCCTCCTCCGGTGGCCGGGGAGCAGCCGGGGATCGAACCTGCACTGCAGAGGCTGTGGGCAGCCTCGCAACCCAGCGCTCAACCGCTGCACCACCGGGGAGGCCCTATTTTAAATTTTTTTAATAAAGATTTATTTATTTATACAAGCACTGGGTACAGTCAAAAGTGCAGGAGGGTGAGAGAATTTACCAGAGCCAGAGTGGGGAGCAGAACAGGCAGACTGACGAAGTACACTGCAGAGGGGAGCAGTGGGCGCGGCAGGAGAGGTCTGCGCACCATGTGGGACCCTCTCTGGCGGTTGGGATCGAACCGCCGCTGCAGAGGCTGTGGGCAGCTTCGCAGCCCAGCGCTCAACTGCTGCACCACCGTGGAGGTCCTTTTTTTAAATTTTTGCACAGAAGAACTGGGGTGTAGGCCAGAGGTACTAGAGACAGAGTGGGGAGCAGAACAGGCAAATTACAGAAATACACTGCTGAGGGGAGCAGCGGGCAACACAGGAGAGGTCTGCTGCGCTGTGTGGGTCAGCTCCCTGTTCAGGGATTGAACTCAGACTGTAGAGGTAAAAGCACTGAGACTTAACCCTTAGGGCACCAGGGAGGCCCTTACGTTGGTTTTTGGCTTCATGTCATGGCCCAATCCACCAAGGGACAGGGACAGACCTCAGCAGAGCTGTGGACACCACACTGGTGTCGCCAGAAGATACGTTCCATAAAGGCAAGGATTTGCAGATGTTTGATTTGCTGTCTCACGCAGTCCCTGGTGCATAGTACTCAATATTTATTGAATGAATAAATCATGGGATAAAAGATCAGAGACCCATGAGACTGGGTGTATCTGTCCACAGAGGTGTCTGACAAGAGGTATTGCATGGAGCAAATTTGAGAAGCACAGGGAAGGCATTCCAGGTTGGATAAGAACAAGAAGTGCCTATACCCATCTTCTCTTATGGACCGCTGGACCTGGGAGTTGATCCAAACCCGTGTTTATTAGCTCAAAGAGAATGCCCCCATCCCCAGTGTTCTCAGGTTTGGTCAGGCGAAAGACTTAAGGGTAAGGGTTAGAGGGGGTGATAGCATCGTTCCAGCTTTAATCCTTTCCTTCCCCAGCTTGTGGTGGTTGTCCAGGAATGGTAACATGGTCTTGGTCAGACAGACCACCTGGCCTGAAGGCCACCCCCCACCCACTGGAAGTGGGTCCTCAGGAAGATTCTCTGAGCCTATTTTTTCATCTGCAAAGTAGGGACAGAAATACCTACGTAGCACAGTTATTGTGGGAATTGAATGACTTAAATTCTCGGTCCCTTTATGTAGTAGATGCTCAGTAGATAATAAGTTTCTCCTCGCTTCCTCCCTATTCTGTTAGACTTTCTTATTCAGTTTCTTTGTGCTCCCTGATAAGTCTGTGGACCCCCCCTGAGTCTAAGGTTGGGAAGCTGCCGCTTTCAGCCCATCTCGTACTCCATTAGAAAATACAGGCCATTTAGAAAATCCCCACAGGGAGTCAGGGCTGGAGCCTAGAGTACAGTAGAGAAAGGAAGTCTCGTCACCCTACTTCCTGTCACTGTGGGCTAGATCCTGGACCCTGGTCCTGATCCTGACCTGTCCTCAAGGGCCACCCTTCCCCAGCTTGTTGCTCCCTAGTTCCAGGTCCCATCCTGTGTCTCTCCCTGTGTTTTGCCCCAGACAATGGAGCTTGCCCGAAATCCAGCCATGATGCAGGAGATGATGCGGAACCAGGACCGAGCCCTGAGCAACCTGGAGAGCATCCCTGGAGGATATAATGCCCTCCGCCGCATGTACACAGACATCCAGGAGCCCATGTTCAGTGCTGCCCGGGAGCAGGTGGGGCCAGGGACCGGGCTGTGGGAAGGCTGTCTGGGCTCCAGATTCCCCACCCCCAGACCCATGCCAGCCCATGGTGTGTCTGCTTCTCTATCCTCCCTGGCCATACAGGGAGGGCTTGGCTTGAAAGCAGTGCAGAGCGAGGCATAGTCCAACTTAGCATGGGACTGAGGCACTAGGGCAGAAGATAGCATAGTTCCCCAGGAAAGTGGGTGAGGCATAGTGTCTAAGGGATCTGACATTGTTCTGACAAACTTGCACCAGGGGCTCAAAGATTGTGGGCAGGCCTGGGGTCAGAGAGCCAAAACTGCACGGTGAATCTCAAGTGTGGTCCGCAGATCACCTGCATTGGAATCTCCTGGGAGCTTGTTAATCACGAGATTCCTGGTTGTCACCATTGAGCTATTTATTAAATAAATCTCTGGAATTAGACCCTAGAATATGCACTTTTAAAAATTCTTTGTGCAATTTTTCCAACTATATGGAAAGTGTAGGTAAAAATAGAACATTCTCTTGTATCCATGTTGCCCTGAGATGTTGCCATACGTAGTTTTGATGCCTTTTGGAGTTCTTTTTCAAAGTTTAATTTACATTAAATACTTTTATTTCCATGGTTGAAAAGTCAAAAGCTACACAAGTCAACTACAGGGTACTTAAAAAGTGTGGGAAGGTAGACACATACAAGAGTCACCTTCTATTCCACCTCTCAGCTATCTCTTTTCTATTTCTAAGGTAATTAATGTTAGTATTTGGTATTTTTTCCTAGACATATCTAGTATCTGCAACTAAGATGTTACAGGTAGAATTGCAGCCTTCACATACCACCTCCCCATTTTCTGCCTCTCTTCCCCTCACCAGAGCTCACTGCCACCCAGCATTGGTGTTGGTGGTTTCAATTCTTATATCATCTGTCTGTATCTATAACTATAATCTATAGTATTGTTTTGCATATATGTAAACCTTACAAAAGTGGTATCATGATGTTAATTTAATTTTTTAACTTGTTTTTTGCAAATGTTTTAAAGATGTTTACCATAAGAACATAGCCACAGGGAGGTGCGCATAGTGTAAATGTAGTGTGATGGGCTTTCACAGCTGAACACACAGCACCTGTGTGAGAGGGTGGGGTCTCACACCCCCTTTTTCCTTGTGGGGAGGAAAGTGCACTGTCCACAGAGGCCCCACGTGCTCTCCTGTACACTCCTTGCCCACGCACGTCTCTGCAAGTGAGTGTGTTGCTGACTACTCTGTCCGGTGACTCTGTCTGTCCCTACAGTAGTGCCATATTGCCTGAAGCCTGGGGGTCGGGTAACGTGAATCTCCCACCTTTTTCTTCAACTTCATCTTGGCTATTCCTGGCATTGCTCCTTCCAATTCTAGTCTCTGCTTGTAGGGATCAGCTATTAATTTTTTTTTTTTTTTAAGATTTTTTATTTTACTCATTTGTACAAGCACTGGGTACAGTCAGAAGCGTGGGAGGGTGAGAGAACTCAACAGAGCCAGGGCGGGGAACAGAACAGGCAGAGTGAGGAAACACAATGCTGAGGGGAGCAGCGGGCGCAGCAGGAGAGGTCTGTTACACCATGTGGGACCCTCGCTGGCGGCCGGGTATCGAACCAGCACTGTAGAGGCTGTGGGCAGCTTCGCAGCCCAGTGCTCAACTGCTGCGCCACCGGGGGAGGCCCAGCTATTAATTTTTAAAGGAATCTGTTCATTTTAAATTTTTAAGAAATTAAAAAAGTTAAATCAAAGTTACACATCTACCTGGTTTTAAAAAGAGTTCAAATAGTTGAGAAAGACGTAGAACTGATGCTCGCTACAGTGTGAGAAGCACTGGTTTAACTAAAAGAACAGCTCATTTGGCATCAACAAACTTGGGTTCACATACATGCTCCACCATTTTCTACTGGTGGGATTTTAAATGAGCTGCCCTCACTTCTCCAACCCGTGGCTTCCTCATTTTCAAAGTGGAGGAAATAGAGTATAGCAGTGGCTCTCAGTCATTTTGGTCTCAGGACCCCTTTATACTCTTACTTATCGAGAACCCCAAAGAGCATTTGTTTTTGTGAGTGAGATCTATTGCTATTCACTGTATCAGAAATGAAAACTGAGAAAGTTTTTAAAAATTTGTTTCACTTTAAAAGTAATAAATCTATTACACATGAACATACATAGCATATCTTTTAAAAAATAACTTTTTTTCCAAAACCAACCTTTCAAGGAAAGAGTGGCCTTATTTTACATTTTACAGATTTCTTTAATGTCTGGCTGACTACCAGACAGCTGAATTCTCATACCTGCTTCTGCATAGAATCTGTCGCAATGTCACTTACTATGTAGCCTTTGGAAAGTTCCACTGAAAACTTAAGAGTGAATGAGAGTGAAAAAGGCAAATAATGCCTTAGAATTTTAAAATCCATTTTAAATCTTGCAAGGGTCCTAGGATCACACTTTGAGAACTGGAGTATTATAAACAGAATAAATGTGTCAGGCACACAGTAGGTGCTCAATAAATTGCAGCTGTTATCACTTTAAGGCGTTCTGAAAGAGATTCCATCCTTAGGGTGTCTAGGGATGATCAAGGCACAGCCCAGAACTAGGTGGTGTTGAGTGCTAGGCAAGCCACCAGAACAGGAAACCTGTAATTGGGGCAAAGTCTGAAACTGTGGCCTACGAGCCCTGTTCTGTTATCTGAACAAGCATCTCGTAAGGTGAAAGAACCACATCTCAGAGCAGGAGCGTCCTTGGTCAGCCCTGTCCCCATCACCCATGCTGAGTCAACAGGAAAGGGGCTGGATGGGACCTCCGGTAGGGAGGGACCAAGGCTTCCCAACTACTCCTGCTTAGGTCGTAACCACCTAGAGACTTGTGAGAGGAAGGCTGAACCAGGGAAATGGCGTCTGGGGTTGAGGAGCACATCCTTGGCTCTTCCCTGGGTGCTGGCAGCTCCAGCGGGAGGAGGCTCAGGTGCCACCTTGGGCATGTGACAGGATCAGGTCTTGGGATGAATCTGGGTAACAGTGAGGAGCCCGGTGCAACCAAAGCAGCTAGGCTGAGGAGCTCAACTGCTAGGAGGAGGGGGCGGAGGAAGTCAGGTGGGAGAAGAAGTGGAAGGAGAGAAGACCTAGACAGGACCAGCTCCGCCAGAGGTGTTCTCCCTAGGGACTCCATCTTGTGGCATGCCTGCATGGACCGAATGCCACTTTGGGGACCTGGAACTCACTGAAAGGGGAAGCTGGGGGCAGATCATGGTTGAAGCAGTGACTTCTGTCTAGGCTTACAATTACTTATTGAGCACCTACTAGTGGCAGGGGCTGGGATGCAAAGGTCGTGTCTCTGCCCCTTCAGAGCTAAGGAAACCTGTTATCTTGGTGCACTGTGGGAGGGGTGTGTATAAAGGGGTGAAGTACTACTGGCCAGAGAGAAGATTAGAAATCCAGTATTTAGAGCCCCCAGAGGAGATAGGTGATTCCCATCTATCTCAGGTGTTCACTTTTTCAGTCACTAGCATCGGCCTGCTTCCAACGGCAGGCAAGGGTGGAGCTGCCTGCCCATTGTGGGGCCAGAAATGGAGAGGAGGACCTCTAAGGTCTTAGATCTCTCCCTTTTCTGGGGAAGGGGAGGCTGGTAGGTGAGAGGAAAGAAAGGGCTTAGCCCTTGTCCCTGATTTGTTTCAGTCCTTAACCCAAAACCTTTCCCTCCTCCCAGTTTGGCAACAATCCCTTCTCTTCCCTGGCCGGGAACTCCGACAGCTCGTCCTCCCAGCCTCTGCGGACTGAGAACCGAGAGCCCCTCCCTAACCCCTGGAGCCCCTCGACCCCCACCTCCCAGGCCCCCGGGTCCGGTGGGGAGGGCAACGGAGGATCGGGGACCAGCCAGGTGCACCCGACAGTCTCGAACCCCTTTGGGATCAATGCGGCTAGCCTGGGGTCAGGTATGTCCTAGGGTGGAAGGAGTTTAGTGGGGTCACCAGGGCAGTCTGTCTGTCCCAGAACTGAGTGGGGTTCACACTGCTCCAGAATATTGAAGACAGAGGCAACACTATATTGAAGCCACAGAGGGGACTCTGCAGCCTGGGGTAGTGGCTCCACCCTCGGAGGGTGAGGGGTGGTTCTGGCCATGTCCTGATGTCCCTGGCAATAATGGCCTAAGTAATGGCTCATGAATTAACTAGGCCCCACCTCCTAAGCTCTTTCAGCTCTGCTGCTACTATCCAGTGTAAATGGGTCAGGCAGAGGGGGGTGTGGGAGAGGAACCAGGGCAGACTAGGGCAAAGGCAGATGTGAGGCTGGGGAGAGGGATGTGCAGCACATGTACATAAGTGCAGGTTATGCACTGCACAACCCTGGGGATGCCCTGTTTACCTGGACTATGACTACATTTGGCCCTGTGGATGTCTTTGGTAGATGCCCTGATTTGTGTTCTGGGAAACATCTTGATTGGGAAAGACCCATCCCCTCTATGGGTTTCAGTTCTCTTATTTATAAAATAAGGGACTTGAACTTGATCCGTGGTTTTAAAATTGTGCTCCTGAGTCTTGGCGGGTGGGGGATTGGGGGCCGGGGTGGGGGGCAGACTGGACCATGTCCAATCAGACTGCTTACATACTTGGTTTCTGAGCGAGATTTGGTTTGAAGAAAACAAGTTTGAAAACCATTTTTCTAATGGCGATTAGATCTTTTCCAACTCTGATATTATCTGGGTTGGTGGCAGAAATAGTCCAGCGGGGCATGAATCAGACTCAGGTTCCAACTGGCTTATCCTTAGCAGAGTAGATGGAAGAAGCCAGGCCACAGCAATACAAGATAACCTTGAGGTCAGGAGAGACTTGGACCCACAAGCCTGTGGTGCCCATTTTGCTTTTGTAACCTCAGTGTCTGAAATAAGGGAGAATGAAGCGAGGCATCTGGTTTCCATCTGGACCCCTTTTCTTCTGTTTTGTTTGTTTTTTTCCTCCTTGTCCTAGGGATGTTCAATAGCCCAGAAATGCAGGCCTTGCTCCAGCAGATCTCTGAGAACCCCCAGCTGATGCAGAATGTGATCTCAGCCCCCTACATGCGCAGCATGATGCAGACACTTGCCCAGAACCCTGACTTTGCTGCTCAGGTACCAGACTGGTACAGGGGGGTATGCTGGGAGAGGTTTCCTGGTGGAGGACACATCCTGTGGTGGCGAGAATGCTCTGGAGCCAAGCTGTCTGGCTTTAGAACTCAGGTTCTGCCACCTGCTAGCTGCACATTCCCTCCTCTAAAATGGTTGTCACGTTAGTTATGGCTCACAGAGCTGCGAGGATTAAATGAACTCACACATCTAGAGCTCTTAGAGTGTGGCTCAGCACGTGGTCAGCACCACATGGTAGTGGAAAATGATAGTCGTCGTCAGCGAACTGGGGCTGAGCAGCCTGGGCCCCAATACTCATTGCCGAGCTGGTAGCTCCATTTCCTCTCACTGTCCCACCTAGGCCTGCAGGATATTATGAGATAAAAGCTGGCCCGATTTCCTTCAGTAGTGGTGGTGCCTAGGGAGTCTGAGGCTGCAGGGAATTCTTAGGGTGGATGGGAGGGCCCAGGCCTCCCCCTACATGCTTCCCCCTGGCAGATGATGGTGAACGTGCCACTCTTTGCTGGGAACCCTCAGCTGCAGGAGCAGCTCCGCCTGCAACTCCCGGTCTTCCTGCAGCAGGTGAGTGAGGAGCTGGGGGCAGAGGTGGAGAGCAAGGGTGTGCCCTGAGCTCTCCTTCCACCTCCCACTGCCCCTCTGCTCCTTTCCCACCAGATGCAGAACCCAGAGTCGCTCTCCATCCTCACCAATCCCCGTGCCATGCAGGCACTGCTGCAGATCCAGCAAGGACTGCAGACCTTGCAGACCGAGGCCCCTGGGCTGGTACCTAGGTGAGAGTGGGGCCAGGTGGGCAGCAGGTTCTGGTTTCTCCTCCCCTTTACCCTCTCCTCTGCCACTCTGAGCTGCCCCTGCTGGTGTCTCCGTGGGTCTGACTTCCTGTTTCTTCCATCGGCTTTTCCTTCTGGGTCTTTACTTCTCTACCCCTTTCTTGGATGCCATCTCCTACCTCTTGGTTTCTCTTGTCTGCAGCCTTGGCTCTTTTGGGATGTCCCGGACCCCAGCACCATCAGCAGGCAGCAACGCCGGGTCTACTCCCGAGGCCCCCACCTCCTCACCAGCCCCTCCAGCCACATCTTCTCCAACAGGGCCCTCCAGTGCCCAGCAGCAGCTCATGCAGCAAATGATCCAGCTTTTGGCCGGAAATGGAAACTCGCAGGTACATAGGGCAGTGGGGCCGACTGGACCACCACTTCCATCCTGGCAGTGTCGAGATAGCAGAGAGTGGGGGCAGCGGAGTCTACTTTCATGCCTCTGGCTTTCGATTCTGGTCTTCCACTTTCTAGCCCTGGGAAAGTTATCCCTCTCCCCTGAGTGCAGGTGCTTTTTTTTTTTTTTTAAGATTTATTTATTTATGCATACAAGAGCTGGGGTACAGGCCAAAGGTGTGGGTGGTAAGAGGATTCACCAGAGACAGTGGGGAACAGAACAGGCTGACATACAGATCGACTGACATACACTGCTGAGGGGAGCAGCGGGTGAGTTGGGAGAGGTCTGCTGCGCCATGTGGGTAGCTCCCTGGCCGGCCTGGGATCAAACTGTTACTGCAGTGGCTGTGGACAGCTTCGCAGATTGCGTCTTAACCCCTTGCGCCACCAGGGAGGCCCTGAGTTCAGTTTCTATAGCTGTAAAACGGAGGTGAGAATAGTGGGGCTTCCTTGGTGGCACAAGGGATTAGGTCTCAGCACTGTGAAGCAATCAACAGCCACTGCAGCACCAGTTCAATCCCCCGCCAGGGAGCTACCCACATGGCGCAGCAGACCTCACTGTCTCGCCCACTGCTTCCTTTAGCAGTGTATTTCAGTAGATCCACCTGTTCTGCTCCCCACTCTGTCTCTGGTGAATCCTCTAACCTCCCAACATGTCTGCCTCTACCCCAGCTCTTGTATGTATAAATAAATAAAATAAATCTTAAAAAAAAAAATGGAGGTAAGAATAGTAATAACACTCAACCTGTGCTAGTTACTGTTCTCAGTGCTTTATATTTGAGCACTCATTTACCATCTCCCTCATCACAGCTTGTGAGGAAGCTACTATTATGATCACTGTGTTACAGAGGGGGAAACTGAAGCCCAGAGACATTAAGTGGTTCCTCAGAGTCACACAGCTAGTATGCAGTGGAGCCAGTATTCAAACCGAGGCATTCTGGCTCCAGAATTTACACCTTAATTGCTTTGTTTTACCACTTCTTATATCAGGATTTATTTTGATAATTAAAGCAGACTCCATCTGTGAGGCAAGAGGGAGGTTCTGGGGGTGAAGTGACAAGCCCTGGGCCACAAAGTGAAGGCCAGGGATTGGGGATGATGTTGGGTCGTCCCCTTAACCCTTCTGTGATCTCTGTGACTAGATGAGTCTGGGAAAAGCCAGTCCACGGAGATGACATGCGCCCAGCTCAGTGCAGGCCCTGGGAGGGCTGGACAAGCCTTTACCAAGGACCAGGCAACTTAAATTCTGCAGGCTGTGACAGGGAGCCGTCCTGAGCACTGCAAAGGGCTTCTGTCCTGCACGTCAGGGCCCTTCCTGAGTGACTGCCTTGTGGCCCAGGCAGGTCCCTTCCTCCTCTGTGTGGCACGTTTCTCCTGTCAATGGCTGGATGGTCTGTGATTACTGGGCTTCTTCTGTGCCTCCTAAACATCTCCTGGGAAAACATTTCCAGGAGATGTTTACAGGAGCATCAAGAATGAAAAGTATTCTCTTTTGTGAATAACTGTGTGTGTTGATTGCTTAAGCAAAAAGCCAGGTTCTCTCTTTCCAGGGGCCTTTCTCTGGCCTTTACTGTGGCTGTGTGCATGATGATGGCCTGGAGGGGATCTGGAGGGCATTTAGCTTGCAAGCCTCATTGACCACAGAGCCTTTGGCTTTTGGAGTGCTTGTTAATATCTCCACTGAGGTGGACTATGAGCTGATCCAGGCCTGTTAGTTCTAAATGTACAGAAAGATAACCCCCTGGCCTTATTACACAATTGTTTAGTGACTGGGGCCATAGGCTGCGTGCCTGTTACTTGCAGATCAACTCTCCCTGTCCCATTGGGTTCTGATTGAGATAGGTCCCTTGGTGTTGGTCTTGTGCCCACTTGATGAGGCCTGTCCCCTGCAGGTGCAGACGCCAGAAGTGAGATTTCAGCAGCAGCTGGAGCAGCTCAACTCCATGGGCTTCATCAATCGGGAGGCCAACCTGCAGGCCCTGATTGCCACAGGAGGGGACATCAATGCTGCAATCGAGAGACTCCTGGGCTCTCAACTCTCCTAATCCCTCATCCAGCCCGTGCCTCCTGCCTCTCCCTCCCCTGATGCCAGCGTTTGGTTCTTCTGTTGACCCCTACCTGCAGCTTGTCATCCCTCCTGTCTTCTCCCTGTCCTGTACAGACAGCAGGGTGACCTTAAGAGGCCTGGGCCCAACCCCACAGTTCTGCCTGAGAAGGTTGGTTTTACTGCTACATCTCTCACAGAATCTTCTCTCTTATTCTATTTGAGCAGAGCTCTGTAAGTGGTTTTCACATTTTGTTGATTGGCCTTAGCTCCTAGCCCCACAACCACCTCTTTCAATCTTCAGACTTCTCAGTGGTCATGCGGAGTTGAAGGAGGAGCCAGCTGCCCGCTTCACTGAACAGGGTCTTCCATCTGAACCACTAGGGTTTGCTCATCTTACGTTTCTCTTTGGTAACTCCTTTCCTCCTTTCTCTTGCCCCCTCTCCTCCCACCCCTCCCTAGCCAATGCTAGAATTCATACTCAGAAGGAGGGGCTGGTGAAACAGACTGATTTTCCTCTTCACCTCTATTCTGGTCACTTCATACAGCACTTTTTCAGGGGGTCTGTGGAACTTGCAGTGGGGAGGAGGAAGGTGCTGAAAGGGGAGATGAGACACAGCCTTCTGGAAGAGAAATTAGCAAACCCTGGACCAATCCAATGGAGATGAGTGCAGAGGAGGAGGGAGTGAGATTTTTCTGGAGGAAAGAAATAGGGGAGACAGCCTGAGTAAACGACTTGGAGCTGGAGTTGACTATTAAGGAGTGGAAGTGCTACTAGCTCTTTTAGGCAGGAGTCCTGACTCAGACCTGCGGAGGAGACCTGGAGATGCTAATGGAATTTGAGTTGTTGAAATGGGCTCAGTGAAGCCTCACAAGGGGTCATATTGGCTCCATTTCCCCAAACACTTATGCTTATGTGTGTATTCACACACACATTTCCATGGACCTAGGACCTGCCTGTGTCCCCCAAGCACCCGTAATTTGAGCCCCCCTCAAGGACATGAAGGGGATCGGGGCCTGCCCCATCAGTGGATGTGGGTGGTGCATGGATATGTGCGCACACACGTGTGAGCTGAGTGAAGGGTGGACGCTGATGATTACTGGTTCAGAGTTCCTTCCTACCAGGCAAGTAGACAGAAAGGCCAGGCTGGGGCAGAACTGGGTTCCTTGGTCCTTTCGATGCTGCTGGCCCTCCTGAAGCTGTCAGCTATGACCAGCACCCTTAACACCCCTCATTGCTTTGGGACAATGTTAAAGGGATCTGTCCCTCCTGAGCTCTGTCCCTCCTGAGCCCCTGACCTTTGGCATATTAGCCTTTTTTTTTTTTTTTTTTTTTTTTTGAGTTTTTCTGTTTCCCTCTAAGCCAGAAAGGTCAATCTGAGGAAGGAAAAGAGAGGGTGGCAGTGATGTCTTTGATCTGGAATTGAACATTGTTCTACTGGAGCAGAGGAGGCCCATGTCACCTCCTTCCTCTGCCACTTAGTCCGCTGCTTGCACCACCAATGACTGAGAATGTGGAGGCAGGGGGAACAGAATCTTGCTCTGAGTGGGAAAGGGCTCCAAGCAATCCAGAGAGGATATCTGCGTGGCTCTCCATCCCTCCCACCCCCAACTCCCACACTGGCCTTTGTAAATAAATGGCGTGATCTTTGTTGTGAGGGTGTCTTAGTGTTTGTTTTCTGGGGGAGAGGAAGTTGGCTGAAGATAATTTCTTAGTTTAGAGGGCACATGCTGGGGTCTGTCTAGGGGACTTGAATTCAGTTACCAGAGCTATTAAGAAACACTGGAGATTAAGGGTTCCCTGGTATCTGTAGCCATGGTTTGGGAATGGGGAGGATTGCATTCTTTCATTCCCTGTTGCCTAGATCACAAAAGTATCAAATTATTTTCAAATCTAACGAATTGGATATTGTTCTAAAAGTTAATTAAGAACTTAAGAGATAAAGTAATATAAATGAAACCAAAAAACCAAGTAATAGAAATTCTATGTATTGGAATTACATAGAAATGAAAACAGTTATGCTTAGTATTTCAAGAAGATAAAAGCCAAGCTTAGAAATTTCAACAGAGGGGCCTCCCTGGTGGCCCTGGTGGCAGACGGGGTTAAGATGCAACCTATTAAGCTAACCAAAGCCTCTGGAGCACTAGTATGATCCCCAGCCAGGGAGCTACCCACATGGCGCAGCAGACCACTAATGACTTGCCCGCTGCTCCCCTCAGCAGTATATTTCAGTCAGTCTGCCTGTTCTGTTCCCCACTCTGTCTCTGGTGAGTCCTCTCACCCCCCGCACCTCTGGCCTGTACCCCCATTCTTGTATGCATAAATAAATCTTTTTAAAAAAATAAAAATTAAAAAAAGATATAGCAGAAAACTACAAAACAGCACAATTGGAAAAGAAGTGAATAGAAATTTTTTTATGAATCTTTTTATTGACGCTGTTTTTTATTGGTTTACAAACAAGTTTCAGGTGTACAGTTTCACACCTTGACATCTGTATATACATCACACCATCAAAAGTCTAGATTCCGGTCCTTGGTGGCACAGGCGGTTGAGCGCAGTGCTGTGAAGCTGTCTGCAGCCTCTGCAGTGCCGGTTCGATCCCCGCTGGCCTTGGAGCAACCCACGTGGCGAGCAGACCTCTCCTGTCTCACCCACTGCTCCCGTCAGCAGTGTATTTCATCAGTCTGCCTGTTCTGTTCCCTGCTCTGTCTCTGGTGAGTTCTCTCACCCTCACGCGCTTCTTGTCTGTGCCCCAGCTCTTGTATAAATAAAATAAATCTTAAAAAAAAAGTTTATATTCCACCCACAACCTCTCTTCCCATTATACACGCATGAGAAATTTTAATTACAAAAATGTAATAAATGAAAATATCGATAGGTGGACTTAGTGGCATGTTGAACATAACTGAGGAAAAGAATTGGTAAGATATTTTCACATAAACACAAGCTGAGTCCACCACCAGCAGGTTCAGATTAAGGGAAATTCTAAAGAGTAATCTTCAACCACAAAAATAAAGAATGGAAAACAATGAAAGTGGAATATATGTGTGGAAAGGTAAATAAATGTTGACTATAAAAGAAAAATGGTAATGTCTCATGGTGTTAGAAATGTAATAGTGGGCCTCCCCGGTGGCGCAGCGGTTGAGCGCTGGGTTGCAAAGCTGCCCGCGGCCTCTGCGGCGCCGGTTCGATCCCTGGCTGCTCCCCGGCCACCGGAGGAGGGTCCCACATGGCGCGCAGACCCCTCCTGCCGCCCGCTGCTCCCCTCAGCAGTGTACTTCGGTCCTTCTGCCTGCTCTGCTCCCCGCTCTGGCTCTGGTGAATTCTCTCACCCTCCCGCGCTTCTGACTGTACCCAGTGCATGTATAAACAAAACAAACAAACAAACCAGCAAACAAATAAATAAAGCATGCCTCTATAAAAAAAAAAAAAAAAAAAAAAAGAAATGTAATAGTAATACAGAAAGGGAATTAAAATATGTGATACAGCAGCATAGGAGCTAGATGGCGGTAAATGGAGTAAGCATATACTAAGGTGTTTGCCATGTGCTGTAGGAAGTGCCAATGTTCCACATTGGTAAGGTAAGGATGAATGTTTTGACCACTATATGTTTTGTGAGCCAGTAAATAGAAAAGCGGTGTATAACCATCAAACTAATAAAGGGGGGGGGGCTCTCTGGTGGTGCAAGGGGTTAAACACAGCACTGTGAAGCTATCTGTGCCTCTGCAGCAGGAGTCTGATCCCTGGCCAGCCATGGAGCTACCCACATGGTGCAGCAGACCTCTCCTGTCCTGCCCTCTGTTCCTCTCAGCAGTGTATTTCAGTCTGTCTGCCTGTTGTGCTCCCCATTCTGTCTCTGGTGAATCCTCTCACTCCCCGCACCTCTGGCCTGTACCCCAGTTCTTGTATGCATAAATAAATCTGAAAGAAAATAATAAAGGGGAAGTGGTATAAAATAAAAATTATTCCAAAACAAGGACAAAAACAAAAGGTCAAGAAATATAGTTTGTTTTTTATAAAAATATAGGAGTTTTTTTGGGAGATGATGAAACTATTCTATATGATACTGTAATGGGGAAGGTATGTATGACAATATTTGCCAAAACTCAGAGAACTGCAACACAGAATAACCTTAAAATATGGAAACTTTAAAAATACACCATTTGGGGGCTTCCCCGGTGGCGCAGCGGTTGAGCGCTGGGTTGCGAAGCTGCCCGCGGCCTCTGCGGAGCCGGTTTGATCCCCGGCTGCTCCCGGGCCACTGGAGGAGGGTCCCACATGGCGCGCAGACCTCTCCTGCCGCCCGCTGCTCCCCTCAGCAGTGTACTTCGGTCCTTCTGCCTGCTCTGCTCCCCGCTCTGGCTCTGGTGAATTCTCTCACCCTCCCGCGCTTCTGACTGTACCCAGTGCATGTACAAACAAACAAACAAACAAACAAACAAATAAATAATACATGCCTCTTTAAAAAAAAAAAAATACACCATTTGGTCTTCTCTGGTGGCTCAAGGGGTTAAGTCTCAGCACTATGAAGCTATCAGCAGCCATTGCAGCATGAGTTCAATTCCCAGCCAGCCAGGGTGCTGACCCATTTGGAGCAGCAGACCTCTCCTGTCTCACCACTGCTCCCCTCAGCAGTGTATTTCAGTCCATCTTCCTGTTCTGTTCCCTGCTCTGTCTATGGTGACTCCTCTCACCACCACCACCTCTGGCCTACACCCTAGTTCTTCTACACAAAAATAAATAAATAGGGCTTCCCTGGTGGAGCAGGGTGGGGTAGGGGGCGTTGGGATGTGGCCTGCAGGGCTGTTCACAGCCACTGCGGTACAGGTTTGGTCTCCAGCCAGGGAGCGGCCCGCACGGCACAGCAGACTTCTCTTGGTTTGCCCACTGCTCCCCTCAGCAGTGTGTTTTGGTCAATCTGCCTGTTCTGTTCCCCACTCTGTCTCTGGTGGGTCCTCTCACCCCCCACGCCTCTGGCTTGTGCCCCAGCTCTTGTATGCATGGATGGATAGATCTTTAAAATATATATAATAATAAATAAATAAACGAAATCTTAAAAAAAATTGTTTAAAATAAAAAATTGATTTAAGATAAAACAAGACAGGACCTCCCCATTGGCGCAGCGGTTGAGCGCTGGGTTGCGAAGCTGCCCACAGCCTCTGCAGCACCGGTTCGATCCCCGGCTGCTCCCCGGCCCCAGAGGAGGGTCCCACATGGCGCGCAGACCTCTCCTGCCGCCCGCTGCTCCCCTCAGTGTGTACTTTGGTCCTTCTGCCTGGTCTGCTCCCCGCTCTGGCTCTGGTGAATTCTCTCACCCTCCCGCGCTTCTAACTGTACCCAGTGCTTGTATAAATAAATAAATAAATAAATCTTAAAAAAAAAAAGAGAAAACAAGACAACATAGAATATACAAATAGAAGTGTACATAATAAGGAAGATTTAAATCCTAATATATAATTTCATTAAATATTAAATATAAATGGATTATTTGCTTCAGATTGTCAGGCTGGATCAGTAAAATAAAAACCTAACTCAATTTCATCTAATTTTATTTTTGTCAATACAAGTGGGGTTCCAAAACACTTAGAAAATCTGCCTTAAGATAATAAACTGTATTATCTGTTCTGTTATTGCTTTGAGCTATTATTGTGATGATAATAAACAAATACTTTATGCTGAAAAATAAAAATAAAACCTAGCCAGCAGGCCCTGAAGAGCCTACACATGGAGGCTGTGAGCTGTGAGGTGAGCCTGAAGGACAGCCAGGGACACTCCCAGCCTCAGGTCTCTCAACTCATGACTAGGGTTTGCAAAGCCATTACTAAGTGTTCATAGGTCCACTGATGGACTTGGGAAGGAGGTCTGGGCACCAAGCCCACCCTCAGGCTGAGTGGGGCTGGGACCCTTCCTACACTGGAACAGCACACCAGTCTCATGCTTGATGGCTACCAGGCCAGCTGCAGTGTGGGGAGGAGCAACCATGGGGTCCAGGAGACCTTACCACTAGGGTCATAGCATTGGCTGCTGAACAGCGGAGGAAGAGGAATAAAGTCTGCCAGGAAGAGAAGTTGGTGTCCCAGAGAGACAAGGCAAGTGTAGGGGCAGGATGGGCACAGTGCAGGTTTTCTATGATTGGAGCAGACAGGTAAAGAAGGAGTCCAGGAGCCCTTGGTGGCTTTTTAGGCTTTTATTGAGCTTTTACATGTAGTACAGCAACCAGGTACAAGGCAGGCCAGGCGGGGGGAGGGCAGCAGGTGACTCTCTGGGACACCAACTTCTCTTCCTGGTGGACCTTATTCCTCCTCCACTGTTCAGCAGCCAAGGCTGTGACCCTAGTGGTAAGGTCTCCTGGACCCCATGGCTGCTCCTCCCCATACTGCGGCTGGCCTGGGAGCCATCAACCAGGGCCTGGTGTGCTCTTCCAGCCTTGCCCCAAGCAAGTCTTCACTCTGGGTCTTTCTCTCTTCTGCCTCTGCTTCTCTTGGAGAATGTATCAATACTGCAGCCATGGCCCACCGAAGTAAACAATATAACTTATAACAATGTAACAAAATGCAGGTGCCCCATCAGGTAGGGCAATCTTAATGGTGGACAGAAAAGCCTGAAAATCTTTTACCCTACAGCAAGGGACTAGTTTTAATCACTCTCTTTTAAATTAATCATTCTGAATTACCCATGGGTGGTCCTGGGCAAGAAGGCAATGTCCTAGCTACATGCTGACCATAAGACATTTATAGAACATAAGAAAACAGAAAGATTGAAAGTAGAAGTTTAGAAAAAGTCTGCACAATAGCAAACCAGGTGCATATTGAGAACAAAAGAATATATACATATGTATGTTGCATCTATTAAGTGTAGAGTATGTATTTTTCAAGCATATATGGGACACTTACAAAAATTTAATGTATAATGGTAAATACAATGAATTACAAGAACAAATAATACAAAGCATGATTTCTAACCATAATGCCATTTTCTAGAACTCAACACAAAAAAGATTTTTGGGACCTCCCTGGTGGCGCAGGGGTTAAGCAGAGCACTATCAAGCCATCACCAGCCACTGCAGCATGAATTCCATCCGAAGCCAACTAGGGAGCAACCCACACAGTGCAGCAGACCTCTCCTGTCTCACCTGCTGTTCCCTTGTTACAGAGCAAACCCGATATAAAACGGGTTGCTTGACTGTGGGTCCTCACCAGCGTGCTTAAAGGGGATTTATTAATGCAGACATACACAGAAAGTTGATAAAAGGTTTATTTACAAGGGATGGGGAAATGAATAACTCAGGGAGAAAAAGAGAGAGGTAGGTTCATAAATGCATCCTACCCATTCCGTTCTGCTGACCTGGAATTCTGGTGACCTGCTGGGCTGGCAAAAAACCTAGCACTGCCACATGGCCGAGAGGGCGACCCCAGCCACACGACCAGTTAAATACTCAGTACCAGAACCTAGTGGCTTAACTCCACCCTCAGGTACTCACAACCTTTGGTGATCATGGGATTTGTAGTTCCCAGTGTCTTGATGGGGTGGGAGTGGAGTCCACAAAGCCTGCATTTTGCTCAGGAAATCCTTTGTCCCTTACACCCTCAGCAGTGTATTTCAGTGGATCCCCCAGTTCTGCTCCCCACTCTGTCTCTGGTGAATCCTCTCATCCCCTGCACTTCTGGCCTAGAAGTGCAGCTCTTGTATGCATAAATAAATAAAGTAAATCTTTAAAAAAAAGATTTTTGGAAATAAGGAAAGGTACTATTAAGTAAATTATAGGTCAAAAAAGAAATAATAATGTAAATTATAAAATATTTTAAAACCAAACACTAACCAAAAAATTACCTAACAAAACTGATGGAACACAGTTAAAGCAGTATGTAAAGTGGACATTCATATCTTATGTTAGAAGATATGAAGACATTACACACTTATGTTAGAAAAGAAAAAATGTTGAAAAGCTAATGAATTCAGCAATCATCTCAATAAATTAAAAAAAAAAAAAACAACCAGCAAAATCAACCCCAAAGTGTAGAAGAATGAAAAAATAAAGAGAAGAGCAAAAATTAATGAAATGCAAAACAAACACAAGCCAT